GCTGTCCTGCGAATTATGACGGAATTCGAGTCGCTTACCTTATGCATGCCATCAAATATTTACCTGGGCCCGGCTTCGGCAATTCCCACAGCCTCTGGGACGCCATAAAAACCATGGGGGAACATTAGGCCTGCCATTTTCCCCGCTCTTTCCCCCTCATTTTCCGCATTTCTTGCGTATTTATTCTTTGGCTAATGTGTGAGTATCTGTGTGGATGGGTGTCTGTGTGTGTGTGTGTGTGGTTGTGTTGGCGGGTGTAGCATTTGAACACTTGTTGAAGGCGCTGGCTGGCTTTTTAATTGCTTCGCCGCCTCGTTTGCCGCCCACTCATCTGAATTACGCAGCCACAAACAGCTGGGGGCGAAAAAATATAACACAGAATATTTGAAAACGATTAAACCTAAATTAAAGGCATTTTCACATTTTAAAGTTGTTTAAAGGAAATGGGAAACTAATTGAAATGGTTTTTGGTTCTGTATTTGACAGTTATTTCCATTTGCAAATGAAATTATTATGTTCAAGAAACTATTTTAAAGGTGCTTTAAAAAAGTTTAGTACTTATTTCCTGGTTCACTTAAAATGGTATTAAAATGTACAACCTCTATAATATTTTTTATTGTATGCATGTTGAGTGTTTAAAGAACACTTAGAATGTTTGTTTATGGCCAGCAATATTATTTATGTTTCCTGACACACATAACTCCTACTTTGCTGCCGACTGTACGTGCAGACATAAAAAACAGAAAGAGAGTCGAGCAAAAAAGGGTTAAAAAGAAGGGCTAAAAGTGCAGGGCGCGTTGCGCCAAATGTCAACAATAATTTTTAATTAAGATTTGTTTTCGTTTTCCATATTAGAGTGAACCCGGGCTAACTTTCCCCTCCTTTCCGCTGCTCGCCCCTTTATCTCCGCCATAAAACACACTCGCTCAGTGGGAAAAAGCAGCAGCCTTGGCTGAGCGAGGAGTTAATTTGAATTTTATAGCAGTCAAGTTGTGTAATTTCAGCACCCAAACGTACATCGCTTGGCATATAACGTATACGAGCCGTTGTACAACTGGAGGCGTTGAGCAACACATGTTGCCACTGCAGCAGCCGAGTGGGCGTGGCCGAGGGCGTAGATGTATATGTGTGTGTGTGTGTGTCTGCTGTTGGATTTTCCATTTTAATTTTTCCCCCCTTTTTTTTCTTGCAGCTCCTTTTCAACAATTTTCCTTGCCAACTGACGGATGAGAATGCAGAGCACTGAGATACGAAGAACGAGCGAAAAGTTTTTCAATTTCTTCAACTGCATTTTTCGGTGGAAAGAGGGGGATTGTACCAGGGGTGTTCTGTGCCATGTTTGCTCGGCTACAAGTTAATCTGGCCGGAGACTCAACTTTTCCATCCGTCTTGGCAAGTGAAGAGGCGCAGAATGTGTGTGCAGTTTCAGTTCATTTCCCCGGCAGTGAATTCCTCTTCGTTATTTTTTCGTGCGCCGCAGCAGTAGAAGGACTTCTAATTTCGTTACAAATTACACATGTAATGCATATGTAGAATGCAGTGGGTGCCATGTCCTATCGCATCCGCAATTTATTAGCTGCAAATGGCCGACTCTCGAAAAGAGACCGCCTTTATCTGTTCGCCCCCAGGGTTTCGGGGCTCAATTACAAGCCAAGTTTATCCGGCTGCCAATAAGCTCAAGTTTATGGTCTGCAGCTCTTGGCAATTAAGTTAAGCCGCCCCAAAAGAATGTGCTCGAAAAGAAGTTTTTGGCTTTTCCACACGGACTGTTTGCCGAGTATGCGTGTGTGTGTGTGTTTGTGTTTGTGTGTGAAAATTGAATATTCCGCATGCCACATAAATTGAAAGGAATGGCAAACGAAAACTGCAGCAGCAGGCGGCTGGCTCCTTATTAAATTATGTCGGTGCTGCAAGGAAAACTTTCTTCCTCTCGGCCGCATTAAAACTGTTGGCAATCTTTTGCTTCGCCTTTGCATTTGCGAATGGCCTGGCTGTCGCAGCAATTATTTCATTATGTGTGTGAGGCTCGGCCCAAAGTAAACTGCTAGCTGCGAAACTGCAAATTGCAAACTGCAGATTCCAGATCTTGGGATTCCTAGGCTCCCTTTTCAAATTATGCACTTGCAAAACTTTTGCAACATTCCGCCAGACAAAAGGGGCGTTGGCTACGCCCCATTGTTATTATCATAATTGCACAAAGCTGAGGGTTCCACTATATATTTTTCCTTTATTTTTTTCTCTTGGTTCGGTGGCAAAGAGATCTAAGGCGCCGCTTGCTGGCGACAGTTTCTGGCCCTATTTGGCTTTGCATTTCGGCCAAGTCCGTTTTAATTAGTGCAAGCTCCTGTAAACTTGCGGATCCATTAATTTCCCATCGCCTGCACGTGTCTCCTGGCATTTCGCTGACTCCTGAGCTCCTGACTCCTGTGAGCTCCTTGTGGATTGTGGATTTTTCTCCCTCACGCATCATTAAACGAGCCTCGGGGCGCGGTATACGCAAATTAAAGTGCCACATAATTTGGGCAACACGCCCGAGGCCGCAAGGCCGAAAAACAAACAGCCCCGGGATTGTGTTTTTCCTCCGCATTTTCCTTGGCTCCTTTTTGGATCGGTCGGATGTGAGTGATTATAAATAAGAGATTCCGTGGGTGAGTGGGTGGGCTTTGGTTCAATTTGGTTTTGTTTTCGCTGCGCCAACGAGCGAAACTCATTGATTGTATCAAATGGCTTGCTAAATGTTGACTCTCAACCGGAGAACCGGAGAAAGCGAACGCAAAGGCGGAAGCGGAAATGTCCAGCGCCCGAGGGGGCGTGGCAAATTTATGGAGCAGCTGCACTGAAGCGTACTGTTTCAACTTTGGCCGCTCGAGGCGTTCGCCTGTCATCCTGGCCACGCCTGCCACATGCCACACGCCACGAGTTGCGTGCCGCACTCAAACACTCTTGCCTCTAAAACGCTCATCGAAATTTCGCCTTTCGCCGCCGGAAGTGCGTGGGATGACGTGGCCCCAAACTTGGCCTTGCGGCTCCCGAAATTATGCCGCAGCCGATTTGCATATACTGGGGCAGGATTCGGGCTCCTGGGGCATTCATCAGGATCGGAATCAAGAGTGTGAGCTGAAATTCCTGCACTCAAATCATTCGAGGTTCGGAGAATTTTCCACTTCAAATTTACATTTTGTTTTCGTGGAATCGTTGTTTATACATCGGTTTTTTAAAGTCCTATTCCAAGAATATGTTCTGCGAAGAATTTTTTGTGTGTTATTCTTTGTAAATTTTTTTATTTTTATATTCCTTTACGAAAATATTGAAGTTGATAATAGCCGAATGGTATTATTTTAAATTGAGGGAACTCATTGAACTGTTTTTATTTTATATAACGTGGAATGTTTTCATAAAACATTGCAAATGAAATGCATCAATTTATACAGTTAACAGATTCTTTTTGTGAAATCACCTAGTTTTTGCAGCCATTTTTTCACAATCATGATGGCTACACTTTTTTTGTGTAGAACACATGCCCGACTATTGATGACGAAACATATCCATCAAAGGTGGGCTGGCAAAGGGGGGCGTGGTCGTGTGATAGACACACCGTATTAAAATTACTGACAGCTACAATTTATTATCAATTGGCAAACAAAGAGTTCGAATTGAAGCTCACGTAATACATTTAAATCAATTGCGGAAATCCAATGGAAATGTAATCGAAGGGGACGTGTTAAAGAGGGGGGAAATGGAAAATGGAAAGCAAGGAGCGGGGCTCCATTGATGAATTCGCAAAACAATTAGAATTTCAAATGAGGACGAGCGAGAGGAGGTGAAAATGTTGGATGGGACAGTGTCAAGGCAGCAAATGTATTCATTTCCACTTTGCAGCTTGGATATTTATTGCATATTTAATGAGTTTAAACTCAGACAGAAAATGAAATGCAATGCAATTTGCTAGCGCTGTGTGTGCGTATTCTCCGTCTCTTTCTTCCCCCGATTCAGGATCTCTCTTTCTGGCACTTTGTAGTGCCTTCTCGCTCTCTGACCGCTTTTGGTGATTTCCTGTTTGCGGCCAGCAATTGATTTGTTTGCAATTTAGAGCCGACTGCGATGCAAAAGGCTCGAAATGTTGGCCTGCTGGGAAATTAGTTCAATTGTTTGTGTGCGGCCAGACAGAGAGGGAAAATCGGCTGGTGGAAGGAGATGGTGAGAGGGGAATGCGTTCAAATCTGGCTCAAACGTAACGCACACAAGTCAATGGGTAGCTTTAAGTTAACACATTACGTATACGACGCGTGGCACCCGCTCATAAATAACAAAATCGCATTAATTTAAAACTCATTTCGTGAATAAACACAGACAAGTGGGCGTGGCCGAGTGGTGTGCACACACACACATACACCAACACGTATGCAATGGGAACTGCGAACTGCAAACTGCATTTTAAATTAAAATTAAAAGTTACTTGCTCCCATTATCGCCAACGGCGAGGACAACGAGCTGCGGACAAGGACAGTGGCGACAAAAGGACGTTCGCGTCCTGCCCGAGGCGATAAATAATAAATATTGTGCACGCATACAATTATGCTGGCCAATTCCCCCTTATTTACCCCCAACCTCCTCCTTTAATATTATCCTGGATGGCGTGTCCTGCGACTGCGGCCAGGTGCAAGTATCTAAAAACAATGCATTGATTTATGCCAGCAATATTTTCCTTGGAAAATTGCTCAATGAAGCATGAATAATCACGACGCGTCGAACGCTGCGTATGCGTATTATTTGCGGAACCGTACAAAACCCTTCTCAGCACTTAATTGAATTTTAATTTCCACTCCTCCGCCCGCGGCGCTTGTGATTGATTTTTAATTAAAATATTTATTTATTTGTAATTAAGTTGATTGACTTTTCGATGGGTGACCGCAACAAAAGCAGCCGTCTGCTTAATGCGATGCGTGTAATCACTGAATATTCCACTAATTTCCGTTTGTCCATCACTCTGATATTTGCAGATAAGAGTCGGTATCTTGGCATCATGTGCTCCCCCATTGGGAAATTCTGGATGCGGAATCAGGTAAGGGGTTGGATGCCTGAGCAAACAATCATTAATATCAATTTGACTCGGTATCTGAGTTCTGTATCTCTGCTGACTTCTTCTGTTTATGACTGCAGCAGGGCCACAAATTATTTATTTAGTTCATTTCGGTTACTCGCCTGCGGCAGATGCTCCATCTTTTCCACCCCCCAACCATTCTCCATTCCGTTCCATTGCCTCCTTTTGATTCATGGCAAATAAACAATAAATTAAATTACCACATTTGATTGCCGGGCTCAGAACAATTTTTGGTATTCCCCATGTGCGTCTCCCAGTCTCCTGATATCGCATACAGGATACGATGTCCTGTCCTGTCCTGTCATACTTCGAGTGCGTAAATGACTAAACGAATGGATGGATGCATTATGTATGCTGCCTGCTGATGCGATGGGGCAAAATTGATTTTTAAGTTACGACCATACGCATTTATTTGGCAATTGGACCTGCTCCTTTGGCTCCTTTGGCTTCTTGGGTCTCCTCGATCTTCGCCTGCCAATGCCAGGGAATTGCAATTCCATTTCGCCATGCATCGTCGTCCTCAAGGAGTGTGTGTGTTATGTATGTCCTTTGGCCTGGCCATCGGCAGAGATTTATGGGCGAACGCACAAAAACGTTCATTGAAAACACATTTTCCACTTTGCCCTACCCCCCTTCACTCATTCCCCCTCCATTTCGAATTGCAAATTCAATAAAGCATTATATAATATGGCCGAGACGTACACTCAAACTCATACTGACACATAAACGGTGCCACGATGCGAGTGCAATAATTTACAACATTTTAATCGAATTAGACGCAACCCCAGGCGAAGGCAAAAGCAAAGGCGATGGCAATGGTCACTGGCCAAGAAGCAAAATGCATTTTAAGTGCCGCCTGGCAGAACTTTGGCACTTGGCAGCTGAATTCGCCACCAGCGGCGGATGGAAAGACAAAAAGAATGGCACACCCCGGGCCAAGGGAATAGCACTTGAACATGTGCCAGCAAATCTACCCGACAGGGCCGTCTTGAGTGCCAGCCGAAATGAAAAAGCATTTAGGGTCTGTGATTGCAAACGTAATTATCGAGCAGGTCTCCCTTAAATTTTTCACTTGTAAAAGGAAATACTTTAAAGTACTTTTTTTTTTTGCAATCCACATAATAGTTTTCTCATATGAGCTGGAATTCTTCAATAGTTTCTCCACCTTTGCAACTTTCAATCACTCAAACTATAGTTTCCCTCTAACATTATATCTTTTCCATATTCATTTGTTATCTTAACAATCATTTTTATTTCAAGCATATGGATCGAAATAACTAGTTTTTACATGACTTTTCTTTCCAAAAGAATTCTTCGCAGTCAGTTACAGTATTCCCCATTCATAAAATCTCCTCGAGCGCAGAATTCTTTTCCGTTTTTTGTAATTTTAAACATTTGATTTGAAACCACATGCAGGCGAAGTAAGTGCATCGGGTGGAGGCGGATGGAGAATTGTCATAAATTCCAGGCAATAAATTTCTATTTGTTTTATTTCGCCATTCTATTTTCGTTTCGCCGGCACAATGGCAGTTATGTCGGAGCCAGCCGTCCACAATTTTCCTCGACTCTCCCAGCGAAGCGTGCAAAAATGAAAACGCTGCTGCTTTTCTTGGATTTGCGTTGCTATATTTTTGTTACTCTTTTTTTTTTTGGTTTTTGGCTGCCGGTTTGCGAGGTTGATTCTGGTTCTGGCCCGTTTTCCAGCCTGCAGCTTTGGGTAGCAGCTGCACTTTCCAGGCTAACAGCCAAAGTTAGTATGCCAGAGGAATGATAATGAAATCTAGCGGCGCACCTCGGGCATTTCCCCTTCTCCACTCCTCCTCTTGTCTCGGGGCGCTAATAACTTTTGTCTTTCGGGCCGAACGGGCCACACGAAAATCGATAGAGCTCATGGCGAATGATTGGTATTTGGCAGGCGGAAAATCCGCTAAGCACCCGGGACACACACTCATCGCTGGGTTGACATGTAATGAGACTGAAAGCCGAAGGCTGGGGGCCGAAAGCTGTCGGAGTCTTTAACTTTGCATAGTTTATTAAATCCCCGGGATTCGGGTGATTCCATTAGCTGTCGTGTGCCTCAGCCACTTCCACTGCCACTGCCACTGGCACTTCCACTTCCACTTCCACTGGCACTTCCACTCTGATTGCATTAACCCTCGAGCGGGCGCCCTGGAAAGTATGCTACACGAATTACAATTTGCGTGTCCTTATTGCTTGCAGTTGCTTTTACAGCTTGTTTGTTGTTGCTGTTGTTGCTGCTGTTTCTGTTGCCGTTGCGAATGACATGCAAACGTTGCATTATGAATGTTATTATAAAATCTCGCTAGTGTATGTGTGTGTGTATGCATTTAAACGACTCTATTTACCACAAAATGGCTGCCAAACAACAACATGCCAGCAAACAATGAACGATAATAATAATGACACAACAGCTAAAGCAGCAGCAACAGCAGCGGGAAAAGCAGCAGCAGCAGCAGCAGCAGCTGAAAAGGCAAACGTTTTAATGGCCACAGCGAAATACACTCTAGTGGGAGTTATGAGTGCCAGGCAGTATGTGTGTGCACTTTGCAGCTATTTAAAATTTAAATAATAGCAGAATACAACGAACAAAATAAAAAAAAGTAAGGGAGAAGAAGAACAACCGCACGGAATAATAATAAATCATGGCAAATTTATATTTTTGTACGCACATATATGTGCGAACGAGTTTGTATGGCAAGCTCGTATGTGTAATATTCGCAGCTACATTGTTGGCAGCGTTTTGCCATTTGGGCCAATGTTTTGGCCTGGCGCCGCGTGTTGATTTAATAGTCGTGGTCACAGGCATTATGGCATGCTCATGATTGCCCCAAAAAATACGTGAGACCCCGCTCCCTTTAGCTCCTTCCTTCAGCCCTTCGACCTTCGTCCGTGTATCGCACATTGTTCCGGTTCGGCTTTTCATGCAAATTTCCCTGCCATTATTTATTGTGTATTTAAACAGATTACGTGTAAGCGTTGTGGGAGTGCCAGGACTCCGAACATCCTAACGGCCGGCAACGCAGATTGCAAATTGAAAAAAAGAAAATGGTAGAAAGTGATGAGATGGCAGCGAACCAAGACGTCGACATCTGTAATCCCCGCCTGCAAGTGTGCCATAAAAATTCAAATTCAAATTCGCCCCAGCTCATATGCTCCACAAATTCCACTTAATTGTTGGTGCGGTTCTGCAATGAGATTTCATGCATTCTAATTTATGCAAACTTTAACAAAGGAGCTCGGCCACATTGCGCCTTCAGTTTTGTTTCGTTCTGCACTTGTGCATAAGCACAATGGCCGAAATGCAAAAAAAAAAAAATAATAAAAAAACAAATAGAAAAAAAAAAAAAAAGGGGAGCCAGAAACGAAATGGGAAACAAGCGAAAAGAATCCCGAATAAAATGCAATGCCAAACAAATGCGAACCGAACTCAGCTGAGGCGAAACAGTCAGGCAAGCAGCCAGCGGGCCACTTGGCGTATACGTAATTCGCATTTGGGCAACAGAACAGAACAGCAACAACAACATCAGCAACAGCAAACACGAACAACAATTGCAATGGCTACGTGCCAAGGCAGTGGAACAGGGACAGCAAAAAAAGGACGACACTGCTACTAAGAGAAAGAGGGAGAGGGAGAGAGAGATAGAGAGAGGGAGAGAGAGAGGTAGGGGGAACGAGAGGTAAACGGTATTAATGGCAGGACCTTCTTTTTGGCAGCAGTTGGCAAGCGTAACAGAAATAGCTGCAATGCGACTTTTTCGCTTTTTGGCTGTTGATGTCTTTTCTGTATGTTGCCCCACGTGCAACGTCCATAGTCTGTATATATAGTGGCTATATCTATCCCCCCATTGCTGCAACATACAAATCACTTGAGACTCCACATATACTCCTTGTTTCTTGTTTCGAATGAGAGGAAAAACCCCCGCCATTGGTAATCGAATGCTAATGGAAAACTGTTGCTCATAAATATGCCAGCCAGCAATTTGTCGAAGGCTGGCCATAAAAACTACAAGGGCCATTTAACTTATGAGTGGCGGCGACCCAATCCCTCCCCCTTCAATAAGGAATCCCCCCCTCCTGTTGGCCACCTTAGATTTTTCTTGGCCCGGGCCAATTGCCAGCGGCGTCAGCGTCGACGGCTCTTCAGCGTCATCAACACATCGTGTACGTGACTTTGCTAACAAAAATTAACAATTTCATTAGTGGCCCCCGTTGCAGGACGAAGCGAAGGCTGAGGACTGGCGACCGAATACTGAATCCTGCTAGCTGCTAGCTGGCTGCGGAATGCTGAAGGATGGTTTCAAGGAGATGACGTAGTGTCAGCCGGAGAAGTGAAAAACGAAGAGCAACAGCAGTGCACGGCTAAAAAAAGTATCTTCCTTAAAATATATAAACACAAAAAGAAAGTTATTACTAAACTTAAATGGTAAACGTAAAAGTTATATCAAGTTAGATTGCTTAAAAGATTTAAAGTGCCAAAATATCATCTTCATATTTCTCCTTCTTAACATGTCACCTTTTAACTCGATAAAACGCCAAATGACAGTTCAATTTCATTGACATTTTCTTACTGTGCAGAAAAAAAAAAAGAAACAGAAAGATAAAGTAGAAAAGAGCTGACGGGGGGCAAAAAAAATTGCTGCCACTTATCAAACAGACGCCCACACACATACACACTCACTTCCTGTCTGTCTGTATAGCTCTCTGCACTCTCTCCTTTCTCCTGTGTGTGAGTGTGTGTCAAACTAACGAACCGCGCTGTCCTCACACGCCCCTTTTACCGCCACCGCCCCCTTTGGCCGCCCACTGCAGTCATTTACAATACGTCTAAAAAGGCGCTGCGTGCCGTACGTGCATCAAGTGCGCTTCAAATGCACTTCATTGCCTCCGAGACACACACACGCACACACTTGCGGAGATACTGGGCGACACCCACACACGCGCGCAACCGGCAATTCACACCCACACATAGAGTGCTTAGGCTTTGTGCTGCACAAAGTAAATGAAATCGTGTAAGAGCAAAGAGTAGCAGTGAAGGAAAAAAATAAAAATAAAGAAGGCACACAGAGACATCAAAAAGCGCTGGCTCAGTTTGCCGGCACCTTTTAGATACACAGATACTTACACTCACAGATACTCGAACACTCACCGCTGAGACACACACCACACACACACACATGGACACATTGGCACACAATCAATTGCCTAAAGTAGTTTGTAAAATAGGATAAAGTTGCAGTAAACTCGGATCTCTCGCCAGCAGAAGGATTCCCCGAGACAGTCTCTAATGAAAACGTAAAATCCAGCCGCACTTACCCGCTTTTCTCCGCCTTTCTCCGCTTTCCTCCGCTTTTCCCTGCTGAATTTTCCAGCTTTATTTGCCCAAGATTTGTGAGCAAACATACACGGATTTCGCTTGGTTTTCTTCTCTCTTTTTTTCCCCCCTGCTTGTTCTTTCTTATTATTTCGATTTATCTGCGCTCCTTGCGAAAGGCGCACTGCAGTCATTTTACTTGGGCCCCCTTGGGCAATTTTAAAGCCCCTCCGCTTTTCCGATTTTCCAGCGGACGTGTGTGTGTGCGAGTGCGCTTGAAATTTTGAGGGCAGCCAGGCGAATCTGTCAAACGGCAAATACGAGTAAATAATAAAATCAAGTTGCCTGGCTGGTAATGTGCCCGAAATTGATTTTTTGTTGCGCCAGACAACAAACCGGAGACACAATTGGCTCAGGGGAAAGGGGGAGAAAGTGGGGAATTAGGGGGCTGGGGGGCTGGGGGCTTTGTTTGAGGTACTCGGCAAATATTTGGTCAAAAATTGCCGTGCAGGTGTTGGGTCCTGTTTTTGTTTGAACTCTTTTAGCTGGCTGGCTCGCAGGACAAACAGAAAAGTAAATCAGTCAAGGTTTACTGAAGATTAATTTTAAAGGTCTAATAAATTTGCTGCTGCAAATTTTATTCAATTTAAAGAATATTAAATATATTATAAATATCAACAAACATTTAAAGACAGACTTAAATTTATATTTTTTTATCACATGAAGCTATCAAAAAAGTTTTATATTTTGCTTAGATACTGCGAGTCCTTTAAATTTTTTGGCCATGCAGCGTGAACCTCCTTTTTTCAGCTTTTGTCTGCGGCAGGCCTGTCAACTGAAATGCTCGCTGGGACGCAACGAAAGCCCCTAAATCAATAAAAGTTTCGATGGCTTAATACCAAAACGGAAGCGGTCCCGGCAGTGCTGACGACAGTCGCTAAGTCGTCGAAAATATGCCGCACCGATTGAGGTCCTTGTTATTGCATTCCCGCTGCACCTCCGCCAGCCATTTGGGTTATATTTTTTATTGACTTAGTTTCGAGTGGCGGTGCCGCAAAGTTTTGCAACTCTTTCGCGGCAAGTTCTCCATTATTTGGGGTCTGCCTACTTTAGGCGTTGTCTGGCGATAGTTTTTCGGCTTTGCGATTACAAATGAGATTTATACGGCCATTTCCGAGCCATTAGAGGAAGTGCAGGGCGGCGCTGCCTAGTCAAGTGTGCGGCCATAAAGAACCCCGAACAGAACAGAATGAACCAAAAAAAAAAAAAGAAAAAAAATGAGCAGTGGTAATACTTTTGCAACCGCTGGCCCTCATATTTTTCCATTGGCCTTGGCGCATTAACCGACGCTTTTTCATTTACTTCTCTTGTTCGCAGGCCAACTTGTCAACGGAGCGGCACGCCTAATGTCCTTTTGATAGGCCCTCCAGTAAGCCAGTAAGCGAGGAAGCCAGGAAGCCAGGAAACCGGCGATCCGGCAGGAGGAAGTGGTGTCCAGTGCAGCGGCGCCAGTCGCTTGATAAATTATCATGTGAGCAGAGGAAGCTGGAGAGGCAAAGGACGCGGAGGAAGTACCAGGATGCGGATGGCAGATGCAGCAAATGATGATGCCGTCGCTGCATAGAACTAACCCGTTCACCTGCCACCTGAGTTTTAATCTATTTTAAATGCGAGATACGGCCATGTGGTAATGGTACGGTGCGACCGGATGATGGTTCACAACGACCGTGTCCTTTAAACGGGTCGGTGGGACTTTCGTCCGTTTGTAACGCCATTTGTCAGCGATTTATCAGTGTCCATAGCCGGTATTATTTATGATGTCGTCTTGCACCTGCCGTCCATCGATAGTGGCATTAATTGATTCGTAATTGCATCCGGATCCGGAATTAATGTTAAGCGGCTAACACACACGATACCTATTAATCAAACACACAATCGTTTTGGCATTTAAAATAAAATTTATTTGTATAAATCATTTGAACAAACGATAATATCTTTTCATTGCGAATGGGCGCTAACAAACAAAACAGATTGCAAGGGCGTTTCTTTATAGTTTTTTTTTTTTTGTTTTTTGCTACGGGTTTTTCTCTGGGCGTGCACAAGGATAATAACAATATTTGATGGTCTAGCCTAGGGGATAAAACATGGATAATCGCTGACTGATTGGCGCTTTCGATAACTTTAACATGCATTCTACAAATAGATAATTGTATAAATAATTTGACTATTGACTAGGGATAAATTTGTCGTATTTGCTTCTCGTTTCTTTGCTAATTGGCTAATGTGTATATTTGGATAGAATGCAACGCAGCAGCGGAATAAATAGAACATCGAATGAGTTGCACTGGGCAGACTAACTACTTAGCACTACTGATTAATTCATATAGAAATTCATGAGGCGGCGGCGAGATTCCATTTGTATTCCTCGTGCCATTTTCAAATTTCGAACATCGAGTTCAATTCGCCGCCCTTAAAACTCACCACTCCACGGTGTGCGTCTCGGCTAGCGGGTGGGCGTGGGGTTCTTAACTAGACTAACGGATAGTTTTCTTCGATTGGCAAGAGAAAAAAGCTCGGCTTTTCTTTTGGAGTTCTACGAAATGTAAAGCTCCACGCAGGAGTTGCTCACGATGGGCGTGGCAGCCGGTCCCGCCGCCCCCTGGCTGCCCGTCTTCAGCGGAGGCGCTGCAGCGGCCGTGGGCGTGGCGTGGTTGGTGTCTATGCTGAGCAGCGTTTGTGATGACGTTGCCACCGCCTCCTGAGACTTTGAGGGCGTGGTCGTGGGCGTTGCACCTGCAGGCGTGGCACTCTCCGTCGTGCCATTCAAAGCGATCGCTGGCAGAGCAGCTGGCATCTGCTGCTGCTGGAGGCTCTGCTTGCCGGAAGTGGAGTTGGCACTTCCGGTTCCGCTTGTCGTGGGCGAGAACTGCTTGGGCGGCACAAAGGACACGGCCGCCTTGGTGGGCGTGAGTATCAGGCCAGTGCTCGTGTGCGGAATGGCCACGCTGGGCGGCGAAAGCGGCGAAGGCGGAAAGAAGTCCAGGGGGTACTGCAAAATGTAATTAGCAATCAGTAAGTATGCCATAATTAAATAGATAATACATAATGCATTAATTCATCCATTTACAAATTCAACTATCTCAAAGAATATTGAAATGTGGTATAACTACAGAGCTATATAATGAAGATTTTTTTTACCACAAATTAAACAACACAAAAAAGCTTCATAAACTTGCTCATATAAATATATTAATATATTAATGCATTTGTAGTGGTTATTAATATGTTTTCCATATGTTTACCATATTAATAAACACAAATAATAAACAAATGCATTTCTATACTATTCCAAATCCCCGTTTTGTGGTCTAGCATTTATATCAAGTGAATTTATAGTGAAATCCCCTTAAAATAAAACACCTTTTTTTTTTACATTTACCCTACAAACAAACCGTAGTTTTATCTATCTCTTGTCACCCCAATTTCCCTCCAAAGCGGTGGGTATATATGACTCACTCTGGGGAGTGGACTGCGGTTCTTACCAGTGGCTGCGAGGGCGAGTGCGCCCCCGGCTGGCTGTAGTAGGTGGTGGGCGAGACGGGCGGACTCGGGTAGGGCCAGTAGACGAGGGGCGGCGGGTAGAAGGCGGACGCCGGGTGGTGGTGCGGATGGTGGTGCGATCGGGGCGTGGCCAGCAGGGGCGTGTGCGGCGGCGGCGGTGGTGGGGCAGCTCCATAGGCTGGGAAAGGTCCGCCAAAGTGGGCGCCCAGCACAGCGGCACCTAGGTAAAAAGTAAATAAAAAGTGTTATTCCGCGGAAATCTCATAGCCGGCAGGGGCACTCCAACATAAAAAAGGGGAGTTTTCATTCTGGGAACTGGTAAGTATTAAGTGTTGTGAGTATGGCTTTTGCTTTTGTTGAAACTGGGAAGGAAAGGGTTTCAGCAGACATATACAAGATATACAGGTATATATGCGTGGGTTTTATCAGGTATAAACCCGCTGATCTTCTCAGATCTCGCAGTGATTCTTCTAGTTCGCGATTCAATCCGTCATTGTTGGGGTTACTGGGGTTAGTTAGTGATCTTAACTCCGTAGGTATTATAATTGGCCAGTTAGTTAGTCGGTTAGCAGGGGCAAAATTGTATTCAAATCACTCACCGTTTAGACATTGCAAATGGTAGGAGAGACATATATAGTTGGTATATTGGAACGAGTATCTTACCACCTCACCCAGAGACCATGAAACAGTTGCGCACAAGTACGAGTACAAATTTTGAACATGTTTTTAGCCGATCGTTTTGGTTTTAATTTTGATTTTGATTTATAATATTTTTTTTGTTTCGATTGTATTGTTTGTTTAATCCAAGCACCAGACCTCGGGAGGCCGTAATTGATTATAGAGTTTGCTCTTGAGGGAACAGACTGCGTCGAGTTACATACAGGATGCGACTATGACTAGTACGATCATGATGGACATTCCACTTAGAGTTACGAGAGTATTTATTATATGTGGCTAGAACAGTGACGGAAACAGAAACCAAACAAACTCCAAAATGCCGATTCCGGATATCCACTCCCAGCTTTTTGGCCCAACGACGAGGCGCTGAAATCGCGATCTAGTGTAAAGCTAAAGCCCAAGCCCGATACCCCAGTTACATGTACATATATAGGTGTGTGAGTGGCGGGATATAGTGTGGGCTATAAGGATTCGGGATAGGGATATTCTGGGGTTCAGCGACTCTCTTCTCGATTCGGGATATTCGATGTTAGTAGGGAACCCATTATGATATCGTGTTGTTTTGTTAGTAGGTCTTTCGATTCGATCCTCTACTCGTCGGGTAACACACACAATAGAGCGAAAGAGATGCCGACAGTGTAGGAAAGAGACAGATAGAGAGAGAGAGAGAGAGAGAGAGCGGGCTTAGTTTAGGCGGTATGTCGTATTTTATTGATGTAAAAAATTAATCAAAGATTGTTGTTTACTAACATCTAGTGGTAAAAAAGAATGGAATATCAAAAATCGTAAAGTTTCCAAAAAACATTTAAAAACTGCTGTGCGTACGAACTAGTTAAGTAGATATTATTGATTATGTGTGTTGTTTTTTTTTTGTTTGTTTAAAGTGGCCATAGAACCCGCTCGGAAGCCACTCGATTGCCGTTCTACATAAGACTATTGGTTAAATTAGACTAAGGATTAGGCTAGGCGCAGACTATCTTTCCCATGCCTTTCCCCGGCAAAGCTCGATTCTCCCAAGTCGAACGGAACTCAGTGTTAGACGCAGCAGGAGAAGAGAGAGGTGGATTCAAGGAGCTTGGGTTTTATTTTTTTAGGGATTTTGGGGGGGGTGGAAAGGTCCTTCCGGAAGACGCTGACAAAAGCTCTTATGTGTGTACACATTTTGCAAAATGCTTCTTGAAAATCGTTTTTATCTCGGTAAAAGTTCCATAACTTACATTGCAGAAATATATAAATTATATAATTTAGTTAAGAGCGACTTAAAGCCAACAAGCATTTTGCAGGGATATAAGCCCGAGTCACCAGTAACCAGTTATCATCCGATTATGCAGACTAGACACACTATATCTATATAGACACTTAAGCGCCCCGACTTACAACAAGCTTTAGACCATTGATCTAGCTGATCCCGACTAAATTAGTGATGACAGAGAACACACAAACAGTAAAAGGCACTTCGATATCGAGAGATATAGATATAGAGAGTGATAGAGTGGAGTAGAGAGAATTACCCCGGATTGCGACTAACACCAGTTACGCACACTTAAGAGCTACACCATTAGATCTAGTCACTATTTGTATTTATAGGGTGTACGATATTGCAAGTCAGACGATGAGATTATATTAATAATTGATTTGATTGTTAGCGGCCATGGAGAGAGACACGGGAAAAGATCGCCGGTAGAATTAATATGCAAACCCATTTTACAAGTCGCACAATCTTACAGCTAGCGTGTTTTTAAATGTAGGTATGTATGTTTATATAAATCGATAGGCACACAACTCCACCCATCGACGGTTATTCCAAAGACGCTTGTCTTACAAAACATGGTTTCGTGATATTCGCTTAACTCGTGTTAGCCCGTAATTCTCGACTTCGGTTTCGATTTCGATTTCGATTTTGATTTCGTTTCGGGGGTTCGATTTCAAATTCAGCTTAAATTTGCGCTTGAGCCAACACCTGACTTGGTTCATGGAGGGAGGAGGAGTAGGGGGAGGATGGCCCATGGGCGGGGGTGGCTCTTTATAAAAAAAGGGTTCCAAAGGGTTAACACTAAAATTAGATTGCACTTAAATGGGCGTGGTGGCCACCGAACCACCCACAAGATCTCTCCTTCTATCGCTCGCTCCATGAACCACGTTAGCCTCTGTTGATTGCCTTCGAATCGGGGGATCGTAAAGGGACTATATATACCTCATCCAGGATATATACTCCCCCTTGCGTACCACACACGCACGCACACACACACCAAGCGTAAAAGAACATTTAAAAGTAGGATCCAAAGATGTGGAATGCTTAGTAGAACACAAGTGATCAGGACTCAAGATCCTTTTTCTTATAAATTCCCTCTGTTAGCCGGTGTACTTATGCGTATATATATATGGGTGAGCAGTGCTTGTGGGTATGTGTGTGTGTGCCCGCGTGTGTATATATATTAAGTATATATAGTAAGTATTATTCGCTTAGACCATAGACAAGTATGCTTAGACTACTACGAGTACTCCATACAAGAAAAGTACTTAAGTCTACGTTCCAAGTCGGTAATAATTAAGCTCTATATCTAGAGAATGTCTGGTATGCAAGTGAGTGTGTGTGTTTGAGTGTGTGTGTGTTTGTGGCCATGATGATACATGATATATATGTATGATTGTCTGTGCGCCTTAATGTTGGTATTATATATGAACACCCCACCCACTCGCGGAATGTGCCCGAAGTGCTGGAGTTTTGGGAGCTCTTATTTCAGGTTAAAACCCGGGCCTTATCTGCCCGGAATATATATGGTCTATATGTCGGTTACTATATATTCGGATTGTAGTACGAATAGACACTGCTGGTCTGTCGGTTCAAGGCCCTTTTGGCCGCACTGGCTGCCGCTGCCGCTCCAGCTGCCTCCTGTTGAAAGGCATTCTCGTACGATCGCTTCATCGACTGACTCAGCGAGGAGTTGCCGCCGCCGGCGGACGTGGCCGCTGCTGCTGCCGCTCCAGCTGCGGCGGCGGCGGCGGCAGTTCCTGGCGCCACGCCCACGCCCGTTGCCGCCCCCGCGGCGGACATGTAGCCGAGCGGAAAGGGCGGCAAGTAGGCGGTCGACGGCCGCTGCATGAGCACGAATTGCGGCTGTCCCTGCTGCAACATGGCGCTCGCGTAGAGCTGCTGCTGCTGCTGCTGTTGCAGGTACAGCGGATGCTGCTGCAGCATCGCACTAGCGTACAGTTGCTGCTGCTGCTGTTGCTGCTGTTCGGCGGCCAGAGCAGCAGCCGCCGCCTGTTGGCGCACCAAGAGGCTCTGCTGCGCAATGAACTGCGCCTGCTGTTGGGCCAGCAAAGCGGGTGTGGAAGCTGCCGCAGCAGCGGCAGAAGATCCCGGTGGTGGCAGCGAAAAGGGATTGAGGGCGTAACCCTGGGGAGTCAAGGTGACGGCTGCATTCTGCAGCGAGGCAGCGGAGTGGGCGGTGGCAGCGGGCGCCGAAGAAGGCTGGCCGGCGGCCATGAAGGAGGCCAGACCGGAAACGGAAGCGGCCGAGAGACCCGGCAACATGGCCGTCGAGGCGGACAGTCCGTGGTGGGCGGCGGCGGCGGCTGCAACCGCATGGGCGTGGCCCGGGGTGTGCGCATGCGCATGTGTGTGCGGGTGTGAGTGTGTATGTGAGCCGCCGAGCGGCGATTGAGCTGTGCCGGCGGCAACGGTCGTCGGCGACTGACCCGCCGTACTGAACATACCCGTGGTGGCGGCCAGCAGCGAGGGCTGCTTGTGGGCGTGGCCATGATGTGGGGGCGGCGGCTGGGCCACCGGCGAGGCCAGACCGCCATTGAGGACCATGTTCATGTCGTCGCCGCAGCACTGGAACACCTCGATGTACCGGAACTTCTTTCCAAAGACCATGAACTGGTTGTGCTTCCGCTGCGCACACAGACGCGCCGACTCCTCCAAATCCATTTGGATGAAGGCCTCTCCACTGGGTTGACCCTGCAATGGATTGAGTATTTCAATTAGAGATCTAAACCAGTTAGAATTATAAGTACCCACCTGAGCATTGATCACCATGTGCACGCCCTGGTAGATGATGTGCTTGGCAAAGTCGTCGAGGAAGTGCAGGATGTGCTCGACCATCGCCTCGTAGGGCAGTCCGCGCAGCCGGATGCAGTTCTTGGTGGTGCCCGAGGTGATGAGGTGCTGTGTGGGTAGAGGGAGAGCGGGAGGCGGGGGGAGGGAGGGGTTTAGCAGGTTAGCTGGACTGGCACCGAGGCCGTGGGCGAGGCTGTGGGCACCCACCTGCGGCAGCAGCGGCAGCTGCATCGACGGCAGCTGGGCGATCAGTGGCGGCTGGCTGTGGCCGCCGCTCGACTCGTAGTTCTTGGGGTCCATCGACCGGTTGAGCACCTGCTGCACCTCGGCGGTCGTCGAGCGGAAGAGCTCGATGTACCGCTGCCCGATGGACTCGCGGTGCCGTCCCAGCGCCTTCGGAGCATCCGTTTCGTGGGCGAACAACACGAAGGCGTCGCCGGTGGCCCGTCCGTCCGGCTTCTTCACGAAGAGAACGCCTTCGCTTCCGTCGAGGACGTGACACGGCGGCGTATCGCCGGTGGTGAAAAAGTCCAGCTGAACAGATAGAACATATTCAATTAGTTTCGGATTCAATTAATAAATGAGAAATCTGTTCTTCTTAGTGAAATTGTAAACCAAAGATATTACGGTTGAAAGTCAATTGCCAACTGAATCATTTAAAATTCATAATTGCAATTCCCAGAGATGATTAAGAATCCTATGATTATTATCATTACAACTAACTAACTCGTTAATAACAAACTAAATAATTACAAACTAATAAATAATCATACTTCCAGGAATCAACAATATTTTCTGAACAATGTAATACTTTTCTATAGTTTTACAAAGTAAAGAGTTTTTTAGCTGGTAACTATTATATTTATGATTCTTATTTAATCAAATATTTTTTTAAAATGTAGTAATATTAAAAGTACTATATATTGATAAATAAAATCCCATGATTTGCAGTGTATTCAAAACAAGATTAATGGCTGTTTTTGTTTGTGTTCTCATAAGATTTGAAAAGAATTTCTTTGACAATTATTTTAAGTAACTCTTAGAACTGCAGAGCTTCCTGAACTCCACCAAAGTACTCACCACTTGCTTGGCTGTGGCATCGTAGGGCAATCCCCGCATCCGAATGATCACCTGGGCGCCCTTGGAGAGGAAGGCCTGCGCCTCGTTGGAGGCTCCGCCGGCGATGGCCAGGAAGTCCTCGCCGGAGGCGCGATACACCTCGATGTAGCGGGCGCCGATGTGGTTCTTGTGCCGCTTGAGCGCCATGTCGCGATGCTCCTGGCTGACGAAGCGGATGAGAGCCTCGCCGTTGCGACGACCCAGCGGAGAGAGGCAGAGGGCCACGCCGCCCCTGGAGTTCATGAATGGGGAGAAGGCAAGAGAGTTAGTTGGGTGGTGGGTTAGCGGGGGTGGACAGACGATAAAGTGGGTCGGGCGCAATCTCAAAAGGGGCGACCTCTGAACCGGCTTATCGATGGGCTGCCGCTTTTGAGGCTTAAGTAAGACCCCACACACAATCACTACTCACTTGGCTACGTTGAGTCCGCGGAAGAACTTGGCGATGTCCTGGTCGCTGCTCTGCCAGGGAAGTCCTCTGGCCCGCACAATGCAATTCCCGTCGACCTCGTCGTCAATGGAGCTGTAAAGAAAGGGTTTTTGAGAAACTATGTTGGTAATTCTGGAGAAACCTTTGGGAGAAACCTATCCCAAAAGCGGGTTATGCAACTCTGAGAAGCTCTTCTTGGAAAAGGAGAAAAGGCGTCGCAGTCACGTTCCGCAATGTGCAACCAAAGTTCTTGACGACTACCAAGTCGCATAAACATTTCTGCTGACTCTCCCGCAAAACTCACACTCGCGCAACTTGAAACGGAATGTCATGCATAAATGGGCCAGAAAAAAAAAAAAAAAAAAATGAAATGAAAATGAAAATAAAACCAAACGAGTTGCGCGAACAAATAAAAACATGAATAATCAGAGTTTTTTCGAAGGAGTTCTACAAACAAACAAAGCGGGTTAGGGTTTAGGTACCTCTGCCAGCTGGCTAATTGAATATTTTATAGTGATTGGGCCCGAAAAAAAAACAGATTTCGACTTCGACTTGGAGCTTCAGGAGCCGTAGGTGAGTGAAATTTTCCTAGGCGATTCCGCGATAACAAGAGCCGTGCATTCACGTTGCCTCTGATCCGTGGCGATGTTACGATGCCACCCGATACCGCACGATCCCAGATCGGTCGAGCACCGATCCCCTGGAAATACTTTGGCTATATGGCGAGACTCTACGACCGAACGACTCAGCTCTTATCGCCTTCCAATCCAAACGAAGACTGACGAGAGCGACGCTCCCAGCTGCGATTTGTTGGGGCCTTCGTCTTCCACAAAAGTCTGGGTTCTTGAGTGATTTCTTTGTGGGCCCGCCGATCGAACTGAGTTTCCAGTTTCGAATTCTGAGTGAGTGTGTTTCCCACTCGAAATAGTGCTTGGATCAGCTGAGAAGGGGCTTGAGTCGACTCGCTTTTCGTGGGAACTAGTTCGAACAGTTTGAGGGCAGAAACCACTGCCAAAACTCACCAAATTCCAGGTTCCAGTACCAGGTTGACCACCTCGTTTGCAGCAAATTTGTGACCTGTTCAAAAAAAGGTAGAGGTTGGTCAGAAATTCAGAGAGAATAAATTGGGTTATTAGAACTTACCTGCCTGCAGCAGGGTCTGGATCACAGTGACCATCTCGCGAGATTCGCGTATGTAAAAGTCGTTGTCTTCCACCGATGAGACGTTGAGTTCTGGCGGGATAATAGAAAGCAAGTAAATAAAGTTGTACATTTATTTAAGTTCAAAATAAATCCAAGTAATATAAAAATTAACTTATTTAACATTATCAGAAATAGGAATCTTCGTATTTAAATTTTGAAACTGGAAATGGATTGTAAACCAAAAGTTATTACTTTTAAATTTAAAAATTCTACTTTGAGTTTCTTATTAAAATGTTTAACCATTTAAGATTGAAATTGATCTTCGTTTGAGATAACAAATACTTTTAATAACTTTTTACACTGCTTTCTGTGCTGTGTCTGTGTCTACTTATTATTAACAAGAATATTAATTTGTTTCTTGTTAAACATAATAGATATTTGCATTAAATTGAGTCTGAGTCTGTTTACTTAACATAACCAGTTCAAATAAAGATTATTTTAATTAAGTCGAAATATTCCATTTAATAAGCTCGCTTTTTAGCCAATTCCAACTCACCTGCCAGCATTTCGGCGATGGATTGCGGCATTGGGAGCGCCGGAGCCTGCAGCATCTTCTTGACATCCTTGACGGGAACGAGGGCGCGGGCAAGATCGCCGGACTTGTAGCGCAGGAACTCCTTGCGCAGATCGCTGAAGCGGTTGTAGTACGCTGGGAGCTCCACATCCTTGGCACTGGCCTCCCGGTGGAGGCACTGCCTCAGGGGCAGCTGGCCATCGGTCACCAGCTTGATGTCGGCGTCGTGGAGCGACAGAGATCGCAGGTAGGCATCGAACTGAAAGGGCGGAGACGCGGAATCATTAGTACTGAATGGCAATTAGCACTTGGCACTTGCGCAGACAGTGAGAGCAACAGACAGAGAGATCTGGGGAGCCAAAGGTTAATTCTAGTGCAGGGGAAAATACCCCAAACATTCCACTGGGTTGGAGAGGAAAAGTAGTTGCCGCGGGTCACCGATAGTGGCACATTCCCCATTCCGCGCCCCAATGCCACTGGCTCAAACCCGTTTAGTGGCCGGCAATTATTGCCAATTAAGTGAACAGTTTTCAGCCGTGTCATGGTGAGTAAATATAACACGCGGCTTAATGTCGCATTACCCGCTCGAAATCGCCGCAGAGCAAAGGAGTATAATCCAGATGACATCACTAATCCCAGGCCACACTCTGCAGCTCCCCTTTCGAATGCATTCAGCTGCTCCGGCCAATGGCTTTATTGGCCCTATTGACTTGGCCAATTAGTATGCCAGACCTGTGCCGGATTCTCAGTGCGTCACGCGCGAATCTCGCCGGGGAACAAAGGTTCCCAGATGCACCTTTAAGCCGCGCTAAGTAATTGCCCTGACCAATGGGATCTGGTATAAAGAAGGTTAGGAGAACTCATCAAGTCTGTGATAGAATTCTCTAGTCGGGTGTTACAGCTCTATTCAATGAGCATTAGTAGCAAACTTGCTCAGTGCAACTATTTCAAAATCAACTTCAAAGTCTTATTATATTACATTATATTATATTATATTATTAAGACTTGATAACCTTTTAAAACTTTTCTGTTCTGATGAGCGCTATTAACTTATTGCAGATTTCATAATCTAGAAAATAAACTCATGATGCAGTTAATGATGCATAATAAATAATGATAAAATGAAGAATAAACTAATGATGCAGATTCATAGAAATAGAAATAGATGAAATAGCGAATTCAACGAGGTATACCACTCGTAAATCAGATTAAAATTAGCACAGTTATGGGTTCATCTTTCAGGTTCAGAGGGTACTAAATGTTTGAAGTGCCTACATTTCTGATGATTCAACACTCCAAACATTTCATAACTTTCCCCTCCACATTCATATCCAGATCTTTTATCTGCATCAGCAGCCAATAATATGTGTTTTGTTTGCTTCGCTGCGTTTTCCCGTTCTTGTGTCTAAATGGAACTGGGGGCTTGCCTGGAGTGTTTTCCTTATCAATGGTTTAGATAAGCGACGGAGGTTATAGTGCCCAGTGCGCTTGAAATCTGTGCTGGGCCAAAGGTCATCTGAGATTATGCAATCCGAAATCTTCAATTGGCGATTATTGATAACGTTAAATGTGTGAATCACTTTAAATATTCTAGAAACTGTTTATAAAACCAGAAGTACACTGAAGAGTTGTGTATTATTTTTTACTGTGTGGAAACTTGATGCCCACTGATAAGAAGCGACGCATCACGCCACATAAAAGTCGGGGCAAGGACCAACAACGACTCATTTTTTTAGAGGGTGTGCTCCATAAATAGACCCATCCGAAACCCTCCCCCGAAAAAAGAAACGTGTGCATTCACTAGTGGCATAGTGCAGGTCGTAATCTTATCGCAATCAGCCGATAACCGGCTGGAATCCAAACAAGCCGAACAACGTGCTCTGATTACCGCACGGATCAGATTGGATTATTCTCGTACGCACCTCTTCGATGGCCTCGCTCAATGGTTTCCCCGCCGCCTGGGCCTCTGCGATGGGTAGAATCAGCTCGGATCCGTTCTCCAGACTGCTCCCGTTGCCACTGCCTGCTCCGTTGCCGTTATTGGTGTCCCCGATGGCCAGGGGCGGGGAACTGGCCGTGTTGTTGGTGGCACTCGAGTTGTCCGAGGAGCTCGAGATGGTGCGATCCTTGATGAAGTAGCCATCCGGCCGCACGAGTATTTGTTTGGTGCCCACGATCTGAAATTGAGTTGAGTTTGAGGAGAGACAGTCATTAGTGTACCTTGAAAATGATAAGTGTCGGCAATAATGATAGGGGCAATATAAGGTTGAGTTGCAGGTAAGAGCTATCAAAGGGTGTTATTATCTTGGCTATAATTTGGTTGTAGGTGTATTTAAAATCCAATCTTCTACTATAAAATGTATTCTTAGACAAAATGTTTACATTATAATACATTTTAAAAGCTACTTTAGGGGTTCGAAAAACAATAACCCTTACTGTTCCCAGTCTTATCACCTGGAACAAAAATAAGAACAACTTTTCATATTACTATCATCTGATTAAGGGGAACACCTGCAATTCAGAGCGCAATTCAGATTAGTTTTCGGAATTTTCTAATGTAACCCTCTTTATTTCTGGTCTTATGGAAAACCTCCGGATTTTCTCTGTCCGAAAACCACAAACGCAATCCCAGGGGAACAAAGAATACGGCTTGCGTCAGCGGATATGCAAAGAAGTCTTAATCCGAATCGGAATCGGAATCGAGGCACTCTGCAGGTAGTTGGGCCCTATGCAAATCTAAACAGCGTAGGCTTTAGAAAGAAAACTAAAATTGTGCTTTTCTTTGTTTTCCGATTTCTGCCGGCGTCCGAAATCGATTTGCATAGGCTTTGAATGTCAGAACAATACTGGATTCGGAGGTAAAAAAAAAAAATGGGAAAAGGAAATGGGGATATGGGTGTACGGCTGCAAGGAAATGAAATATGCATGAGTTGCGGTCATGTTAAATTCAACGGACAAGAATGTGGGCCTCACTCGGGGGTTAAGATCGCCCCTTATTATGGGGATCTCAACACAGGGGGGAGCATTTATTCCCATTACCAATAGGAAGCCCACCGATATCAGCTGAATAGGAACGAACAGCGATTGATTAATTAAAGTTCAGCCAGCTAAGAGTTCTAATTGGTTCAAGTAGAGCTGCAAAGTGAGAGAGATTAAGAGCAGGCTTAACCGCCTCGCGACTTTTTGCAGTTTGTTTTCGAATGTTAATTAACTTTAATTGTTGCCATACGAGTCATAACTAGCCTGTAATTAACATGCCAATTACTGCATCGGTATACGCGTATGTAAGCCAGCGAGTGTGCGAGTGTGGCTGTATCAAATCAAGTAAATTACTCTCGAGCAAGAAAACTATAACAAAGAAATTCAATTGGAGATCGAACTGACACGAAAATGGATCGCCTGAAACGGAAAACGATGTTTCCGCTTTCGAAAGTCTGCCACCAATAAATTTTCTTATCACGGTGTCCAAGCAAATGCTATGTTTGTATAATATAATCAAAACGATCACATTTGACAGTTTGGTCGCACTCCCCTTCAACTGTCCAAAAAAGACATACTGTCGCTCCATTAGGCAGGCAAATGACAGTCAGAATCGGTCAGCATATTGCCCATTATTATTATAATTCGATGTCGACATCTATGGCAGGAGGGCCTTCAATACCGAATCCAATTCCAACTGATATCAGCTGGAATATTGCAATCATCGTGATGAGGCTTTGCGATGACTTTCTGTTTCTAGTAATTCTTTTCATGTGGAGTACTTAACGATCTACTTTTGCAACACTAAAGCATTTTCGCTCATATTATTTAATTATATCACATAACTAGCGCTACTTTCCCCCTTTGGGAAAAAAAAATAATATATAAAGCCGTATATTTTTAGATTATTTCATCTTGGCAATCACGCCTCGGTCTGCTGATATATGCTAACTATATTCACAGCTCAAATAACTTTAAGGTTACCCAAATATATACTCAAAACTCTGTCAGATCTTATAATTATATAGTTACGTTTCTTCTAAGATATAGCGACACTTTCCACTGGTGTGCGAATACCGTTCGAGCATAATGTGGCTCGGAAATTAGCATTTATTTCGCAGAGCGAATTTGGTATTCAGATATGCACCGAGCGAGCATAAAGGTATATAAAGTATATTTTATTCAGAAGTGTGGCCTAGACTCGTATAGCTCATTAGGGACCGAACACTGAACCAAAACTGGCGGAGAAAGGGAAGTAGGATTTTGGAGAAATTCGCTCGTCTGCTGACCCCTTGACCTGGCCAAAAACAAAAAAAAACATATTAAGAGAAAAGCGATATAATAATACCAATGATCTGCGGCGGGGACTCACCACAAAGATTAGCATAAAAATTGGCCCCAAAGCCGAAACGTTTTGCGAAAGCCACTTAGCTGGAAGCCAGAGTTTAACATCGGGTAATTAATTCACAATAATTTGGCATCCGCGGCAGACAGAAGCTGTCTGCTCTGACACCGGGTCAGGGCTTTAGGAAACCAAAACAGAAATAGAAGCGTTCGTTATTTCGGTCCCCCAATGTCGCCATTAAATGCCACTTAAGATCAGCGCGGAGGAGGGCTTTCGAACGGGCTGGACGGCCAGGGCGTAGCAGCTGCACTTACTAAAATGTTGCGTGCTCGTCATAAAATAGCGACAATGTCAGGCAAACACATCGGGTAGCCCCGGCTAAGCTAATGCCAGCAAATAGCCTCAAGAGCCCCGACCCGAAGGTACACACAGAGCTATCTAATGGCCGGCAATTTCCTTCATCAGTTCTAGCCGGTGCGAAAACAACGTTGACAGTACTATATATATATATATTAGCTATATCTTCAAGTCGGTGCCTCTAAACACGCAGCCTCCGCCGGAATCGAAGCGCCCACGTAACCCCCATATACGATACGATGCGATACGGGTTTTTGTGTGCACTCGAAACTATGGAGTACTGGGCAAATAAAATTGCGTACCGAAAGCGTCATTATTGGGTCCCCACAAAATGCATTGAAATGGGAAAATCGAATAGCGATTCAATGCAATGAGTTTTACCAGTTTTTTAAAGTCGAAAACAAATCAATTATAACTATAAGCGTACGTTTTGCAATTACTGAAGTTAACAATTTCATAGTTAAATTTTTAGGTATAATTTATTTAAAAAACTCTTAAAATGTGGTCATTAAAAATACGTCTAAAGGGTTGACATTCCCACAGCATTACATCATTTCCGAAAAGAAAATCTTCTGTGTGCTTTCTTGGAAAACTTGCTTGGGCGCTTGACAAATAAATTTTAATGGCAGGCTTTAGTTTGTTGGGGGAATTTCGCAATGCCATGGAGCAGGCTCCCACGAGGGCTTTTGACTAAGCTGCAGGTCTCGGTTGTTGGCCTGCCCTTAGCCACCTCGGATGTTTAGAGATTTTTTCCAAACAATTAGTGTCAATCGCTTGGCAAACTCAAAATATGCAAATATCCATATACAATGTGCACAACCCTCCTTTTTTCCGCACTCCTCCATTTGGGAGGGATCTTCCAAAACAAAAAAACATAAATATAAACGGAGAACAATCTTGACATTCTTATCTCGCACTTATTAAGTATATATGCTGGTAGAAAGCATACCCACTAATTAGATTTTTAGTGAATTCAGCTTACTAAAATGAAATGTCAGATATTTTTCTAGTATTTTGAACTTTCACCAGGAATTGAATCCATCAGTTCTTGAATCTATTAAACTCTTGGGTATTTTCAAAATGGCTCCAATAAAAACTCTCGTTTAGCATCGCCTACTTTTGGCGAATCAAAATCGAGAGCTGTAACATAATCAACGATCGCCATTCCACAGTTGAAAGTGCAGTGTGAGTTTCTTTGTGTGTGCGAGCGGTCTGTTATCGCACAGCATTCATTTTAATTAATGACTGTAGATGAGAGCCGAGCGACCAAACAAAATGGTGGCCAGTGGGCGGTGCCAACCGAGTTTCCCCCAGACATTTTTGCTTTTACACTTCCTCATAGTGAAAACATCTCATCAATAAAATTTAAGAGATAGAAGAAACTGATTATTGAATTTTGAAACATAAAATAATTTTATAAGAATACCAATCAATTATTATTTATGTATTAACAACTCTGACTGAAAAGAATTACTATTTAAAATCTAAAAAGATTTTGACTTACCTGTCCAGTGGAGACCTCCAAGAGGACAAAGACCAGCAATATGATCTCCTTCTCATCCGATCCCAGCCCGGATCCGTTCTGGCCACACGTGGCGATGTACAGTGAAACAACGTGTTCGGGAACCTGCATTTTGCTAACCTATTTCTGTGATGATTGTGCTAAAGATGGTTGGCTGGATCCCTTGACTATGTCTATTGCTAGTGATTCTGCTCCTTAGCCTGAAGCCTCATTCCAGCTTAGCTTGGGATGATCTGCATCTCAGGGCTACTCCGCCAGCGGCTGAGCCTGAAAAAGAAGAAGAGAAGAGGGGAACCAGTGATTACATAATCGGCACAAAAACAACAAACTGCACACTTGGACTTTGGGCTGCACATTAAGCGAGCGCTAATTACGAGTGCGTTCAAGAAATGTCAAACAAAGCGAATCGGTTTGTGGCAGAGTCAAAGTTTGCCAAAGCAAAGCCCACTATAAAGATATTTAGTATACTGTACGAACTGTAAGCTCGTACTAAAAAAATCGAAAAGAAAGTCAAAGTCCGGCGAATCGCGCGAAACTTGGCAAAACGCTTAACATCGCGACATTTTGCATATGCAATCCATCGTCTGTCCCTCACTTAACCCATGTGACGTTGCCAGTTTTTCCCGCCGCGTTGCCGCATTGCCGCTTTTCAGCTGCATTTGTAATTGGCTCGGAATTTTGCTTCTAAGACCGCTGACGTCAAGCGGGTCAAATTGAAATTAAAGTATTAACCCCCGGCTGGCGATTTGAAATTTAATTTCGCGCAGGGGCAACGAAAAGCGAAAAAGCAAACGGAGGACGGACGACAAAATTACAGTGCAATTTTATGAGCATTTTTAATGTGAAAAGTTTTACTCTTAATGAAAACACAAGACCCTCAGAGTTCAACCCAAATGGCGCTCATGGGTTAATCGGGCGCGCAGGCGCAAATCGCTCTTTGTAGTTGTTACGACTGCTCTTTGTTGTAATTAAAATTTAAAATAATGCATACGTGCAAAAAGGCCAGTCGTCGTAATTGAGCCACTTTAAGTGGTCCTCGGGTCGGATCTGAACAGATCGGAACGGAAGCTGGACTGTATACAGTATACAGTATCCACCTCTTTAGATTTTTTCACATATGAACAGAGTGTGAATTAGCTTTAAAAAATTTTAACACATTTATCTCTTAGCGAGCTAAGTTCCTTATAGTCTTTAAGAGGTTTAAAAGTTATAGGACGACTAGTTTACTTCTAAGTTAAAAAATATCATAAGATATAATCAATTTGTTTAAAAAAGGTTTTTTAAATTTGTGGATGTTTGACTTATAGAAGTTTGACTGTAAAGTAAATCTCTGTTTTTATAGTCCACGCATGACTTGTTCGGGGGGATTCATCATCCCGAAGAGCGACCGTGTGGTAATGAGCGATTGCGGTCATATCTCGGTTATTGTGCAATTTATGACGTTAACTTTTTACGGGTTTTTAACAATCAACTTTTTTTTTGCATCTTGCACTGCCCTTTAACTCGTTTTTTTCCGTTAGCAGGAAATCTTCATCAATACAGGTTCCCACGATTTCTTGCGTCCCAAAAGAACTAACTCTGGCTCCAAGAGCTTTACCTTAAAGGTATAAACGGGTTCGCCAGATTGTTACTTTTGACACCACTTTTGAACTTCGGGGTTAGGTAAACAGAAAGCTTGTAAGTTCACTGTTAAAATATAAACTAAAGCCCAAAGTGCCCTATTTCCTGTTCCGTGCCTTTAAGCCCTTAGAGCCCATTAAAACCTTTTGATTTACCTCAACCTTATAGAGTGGCATATCATAAGTCGTGGGTTTATGAGTTGCTTTATGAGATTTTAATTGATTGCAGTGGTAGCGATAGAGTGATACTGTTATATCAAAAGGGCAGACACGCATTGATAAGTTTTCCCTTTCGTTGGGAACTCAGTGGCACAAGGAAATGGAAAAGGTACTCTCTTCATTAATGAATAACGGTGCGCAAGTCTGGGCCCAATTAAGTTAAAATAGAGAATGACCGAAAAGACAATGGGAAAGCGTTGGGGCCAATGGTCATTAAAAATAAGAAACCAAAATACAGACTTAAACTAATAGGTAAGCTACAGTGAAACTTTTCTATTTTTAACTGGCCGAGGATGAAGCAAGTATTTTAAATTATTAAGTCGCAAAATTCATTTATTTTTATTTTCATGAAAAAAAATGTTAAAATATTGAAAGGCAGATGTAAACTTTGTTGAAGAATCGGTCGGCTACTTTCCAATCTTTTTGACTGTACTGAAAGATTATCTGAATTTCATCAATAAAGGCCAACCTGAAGTTGAAGATTGTTTTTTCTTGTAAGACAAAACAATCAAGTTGTGATTAAATTCGAATTAGTGACAGGCGCAGCAGGAGTGCAATAAAAAGAGCTAATACCCCGACAACGGGGCAACAACTAATGCAATTAATGAATTGCTACCTGCTGATTGGTAAACCAGAAAGTGAGCAGATTTTACTTGTTGGTTATTTGTTTTTTTTTTCGGACTTGCTTATTAAATTATGAATTGCGCAAGTTTCTTTTTTACGGTTTTTGTTTTATGCATTGTTCCTCGCTTGCAAATATATATTGTTGTTGCTGGCGTGTGCCGTTAGTTTGTTGTTGGGGCAACAGGAAACTTATGATTGCGCAAAATTGCTGGCGAGAAATGCCAATTGCCAAAGTTATTCAGACACAAAAAAGTGGTAGAAAATGCAGAGAAAAAGGAAAATGGCTCTTACTCTATCTGGATTTTTATCTTTTTTCCTTTTTAACTGGAGCTCACGCAACCAACGAGTGCAACGTTGTTGTTTTTATGGTTCTCGCAAATAAAAAATCAAGATCAACATCTGTCAAACCTTAAATACACTGCGCATACTATGATGATAAAGACGTTACATAAAGTCAAGTTCACGACTTGATATTTTGTTTTTGAGCACAATAATTTCTACTAACCAGCATGAGTTTCAATTTCATATCTTATCTTTAAATTTAAATTAAGTGACTGGAATTTTCAAAAAAACCCCTTACCCCTAAAACAGTAAGTTGATTGATAGTTATTTTTAGATTTATTATTTTAATAAAATATTTTTCATTACTTTCTTTTCTTTAAAAAAAAAAAAGGTACACGAAGATAAAAAAAAGAAAAATGTAATTTTTAAAATATCGTTATGTAATTTTTTTTCAAGAAAGGGTATTATAAGCCTTCTGGCTCTCTTTCTCTTGGTAACTTAGTTTTGATCTCTGTTAACTGTAAATTTGTTTTCACTTTGTTTAGCGCACAGCCTTACTGTATTTTTTCTTGTTGGTTTTGTTGATGTTCATTCATTTCGGTATGTTTATTAGATTGTTCGACTTACAGCAACAACAAGTGGTTCTCAATCGGTTTTCTCCCTCCCCCTCTCTTGCGCTTTTTATCTCTTTCGCACTCGTTGTTGTTGGGATGCGACAGGTTGTTGGTAAATGATATCTACAGCTTCCTCTTGCTCTTCTTTCACTGCTTCTTCTTCTCCTTCTTACCCACTCTCTTTCGCTCGCTCCGCGGCGAGTTAACTGTTTTTACTGTTTTCTTGTTTTATGTATTTTTTTCCGTTCAACACGTTGTATACATTGCACTTGTTGGCTTTTCACAATTTTTGGTTTTTATTGCACTTTCTTTTCTCTCACACACAGAAATATTTCTCAATACAGTAATGTTTGATTCAACGCCCGCGTTGTTTTTGTCTGGTCTTTTGAATAGTTAACTACATTAATTAAAAGCCAACAAACAAGTCTGATTCTTCTTCTTGACCTGTTGCTTCTACCACTTTGACTTGTTGTCTTTTTTCTAGTTTGGTTTTTGGTGCGAGTGTGCGTGCGATCGAGTGTGTGTGTGTGCTGGATATTTTTGTTAACTCTTTTAACCGCCGCCGCGCGTCCGCTAGGTTTTAAGTTGAAAAAACAACTGATCGCCGCTGTGAAACTCAGGCAAGAAGGTAAATTAAGGTGAGTGCGCTGCGCTTGCGGAGAGGGAGCGAGCGAGAGCGAGAGAGCAGGCCAAACAAGATTCCAGCACGCACATACTAACAAAAACAACAACATAGCCAGGTGTGTGTTTGCCAATAGGCTCTGCGATAGTTGGCAACGCGGCGACGTACTCCGCAGTTAAAGCTTGGCTTAATGCAGAGAGTTAATCTCCTCTCTCCTTATTAGTTTCCCACGCTGCGCAAGACAGTTACGCTCAGTGAGCATGACAGGCGCTCTTACTCTTTCTCACTCCCTTTCACACACAGAAGTTACCTGCGCCGCTCCACCAACACACTCACCCTCGAGCACACTTACACCTGTACACTGTTTGCTTTGCTCTTCTTCTTCATCCTCTTCTTCTTCTTCGCTTGCTCAATTACCAACGGAAAACGGAGAATGCCCACGTAGAATAGACTGCTTACCTGTTTATTTTTCCTTTTGGCCAGAATCATCATAGCCAGCTATTAACTGTTTTTAAGTAGCGACTAATGTTAAAATATCACTGTTTTAGGAGCGGGCGAGAAACGAAGCAACAGGCGACGGCGACTTTCTGGCTACAACCGAGCAACAAAACGCGTTTGGTCTAAACGAGCGACAGAGAACGAGAGGTTAAAAAAGACAGAGAGAGAAGACCTCGGAGAGAGCGCAAGTGTCGGTGTGCGTGGGTCGCTTACCTGTGAAAATTCCGTGTCACGTCCGAATAAACATATCGTTATCGAAATATTAACCCGCTTTTCAAGATAACATTTCTGGGCAAAACAATTGTATACAATTTATATTAGGCATTTATCAAATTGTAATTTGTACTTAAAAAACGTTTGACCGGCTTATATAAAAAATATTATCCCAAGCTTTTATAATATCACAAGATTTTCTGCATCATAATGTTCTATCAAAGTTTACCTAACAAATTTAAAATGTCTTACCCGACACTCTATTGCCAAGAAGTATGCTATGATTTTGGCTAACCAATCAACAAAAACCTTAGAAGATCTTATAAATTGCAAGGGCAAGGGTACATTTAATAGATTGACTTTAGGAATATTGCACAGTAAAAATATATAAAATGGCATAGAAATAAGAAGAGAAGATGTAAGTAGATAATCATCCTCACAAGATGATTTCGTTCTTGAAGCTTCGACTGAGCTCCTTGTGCGGCAGTACGATGCTGTTCAGCAAGATTTTCTCAGCGGGCACCTGTACGAAACAGCCTGCAAATAGAGGTTGGTTATGCAAATTAAAACGTAGCAGTGCTTTACAATACTTACCCAGTATGGTAATCGAGGGATTTAGTTTACCCTCGTTGTTGAAGAGCGGTGGGTTTTCCATTTTGGCGAATGGCTTATTGGGGTCCGGGTCACTGGGTGTGCCCTCGACCCGAGCCCAAGCTCCAATGCTGGAACCTCTGCCCACGATCGAGTGCAGGACGAGTGTGTGATCCAGGATCTGGGCCTGCTCCAGAACAATCGATTCGCGGATGCGCACACCAGGTCCAATTGTCACTCCAGGTCCTATGGCCACATTGGGTCCCAGCTGGAAGTAAAGTTAAAAGGTTTACTGAAGTCCACATAAACAAATATTTATTTTACTTACCACTGCACTGTGATGAACTGTGGCACTGGGGTGCACATAGACATCCGGTAATACTGTGCAGATCAAGCTGCCGTCGCCTTCTCCGTGTTTGGTTCCCACGTTGGCCAGTCTCTCCGGATGCGTTTTCTTGTACAGCCCCAGGTAATGGCGATTGGCATAGATTGCGGATCCAGCGGTCTTCAGCTGGGACCACCAATTGGGCACTGGCATTGCGAACAGCTTATCGGTGCCCGCCAGCGGAGTAAGAACCTCCTGCTCCCACTTGATGTGCCCCTGCTCTCGGCCATTTCCGTTTCCGTTACCATTGCAGAATCCCTGGCATCCATATTCCTGCCCTCTCGAGTGGAAAATCTGTGCCAGCACGGTGAATATATCCATGGAGCAGACATAAACGCCGCAGTTTATGAAGGTCGACACATATGAGCTGGGCTTCTCCACATAGTGGGAGACAGCTCCGCTGTTCTTATCGAAAACCAAGCATCCGTAGTGCAGCGATTGCTGACGCGTTGCCTCCGTGGACATGATGGTCACCAGGGCACTCGATGGCCGCCGTTCGTGGAACTCGCAAAGTTCTTGCAGCGGAAAATCAGCACAGACATCTCCGTTGAGGACGAAGAAGGCTCGTGGGTTGCCAGCTCTAATCTGATCCCGGAAGTGGTACATTCCACCAGCAGTTCCCAAGGCGGTGAACTCCTGAAGGTACCTGGAATCAGCGACACGTCATATTAAAGTTTCCAGTTCTGCTCAATTTTAAGATAGCAAACATTAATGTTTGTAAGGGTGTGTAATATGGGATCGGCGATCGTTTTGGTTATGTAAAAGTTTCGGTTACCTTTGGTAACTCCAATTCACCCAACATAGAAGTTTTTTTAAGAAAAATTCTTCCGTCTATTTGATTTAAACCCACCTGATGTTGATGTTGCTGCTGCTATATAAGGCTTGCATATCGCCCACGAACCCCTCCATTTGGGTCTGCGGATAAAACCCGATGATCAGGATCTCCCGGAGGTCGGGCAGCTGGGCACAGGCCTCGATATGGTGGGCAATCAAGGGACGACCGGCCAGCGGGAAGAGCGGCTTGGGCGTGTCCAATGAAAGTGGCCGGAAGCGGGTGCCCTTCTGTGGGCCACCGATCAGGATAACGGCCTTCAGCATAGTGTGCGTGCAGCGGACAGGTGACTAATGCCGATTGATCAGTTTCGTGGCCAATTCTCAGAAAGATATCTTTTCTGTTTACGTTGCTAGCGAGAAAATATTTTGTTCTTCATCAGCTGATTGCGCTAACAGCACTTGAAATGAATGATAACAAAATTAACAGCACGCTGTAATTGCTCTGTTAACTTAATTTCTAAGTCAGACTTTTAAAATGTTAAATTTCGAAAATAAAGGAACTTGGTCTATTTGTTATTAGTTAATATATATTTGTTGGCATAAGCCGTAAATATTATTACATTTTCGTTTAAGGGAGTGCTTTCTGTATCTCCGCTGTTACCTGACATCCCTGGAAAGACCAACCGTTGGAAAAACTCCAGCCCAGTACTCAATTGGATTTCCAATATATGATTTTAAACAACTTGATACTTATCTATTTATACAACGAAAACCATTTAATAAATGTCTTTAAATACACAATAAGAACAAAGGCGAAGCGCAGAATCTGTAGATAGTTGTTTACAGCGGTTTTTAGCAATACTCTGACGGTTTGCAGCAATACAAAACATTGTTTTGGGAATTAGCGCACTAGATCCTCAGGATTAAACATTCCACGGGCGCGACGCAATATGGAGTCCTTGCTGGCATCGTATGGGTGATCCTTCGAGGGAATCTCGAGAACCGCTGGCACCGGTGACGTGTGGGCATCGATTACATGGCGGATGAGTTCCGCGCAGTTCTGGTTAATGAGGATAATGTCGATGTCATCCCGCTTCAAGAATCGCTTGAAACAGTCCTCCAGCTCGCTGACGGCCGTGTTTTTGTCGACTACCATGAAGTTCGGGTGGCGATTTTTGTTGATCTCGCCCACGCCTCCAAGCAGGAATCCCACGCAGGTGTCCTCGTCGCCAATTACGCTAATCAGTTTCCCCTTGATTGCCGAGTGCAGAGCCATTTCGGTGGATTTATTTTTGTGTTTTTACACGCAGCGAGATGTGGACAGCGAAAATAAAACCTGAGTCTGGAAAAACTTTCGGGTCAGCTGGTCTCTATCACATGACCCTCTGCGCGCAACAGCACTGGAAGGCCATTAACAGCACTGCGTGTTTCGGTATTTTTATGTAACAGACAAAAACACTAAACATTAACAGTCTCATTAGGCGATATATACCGAGATGCAAGATAACCGTCTCTAGTTTTCAGTTCTTCTCAACGTTTTTGAAAAGCAAGTGGGTTGTTCCGTCAGATTAAACTTATTAGCTCTTAACATTTAAAAAAAAGTTGAATTGTAGAATTACAAAAACTATTTTAATATTTTATTTTTACGATTTGTGATATGTAATTGTAAATAATTTATTTTTTGGAAAAATTTGCAAAAGCTTATCAGTTGCAAAACGTTGTTTTCGGTAACTCATCTAATTCAGTTCCTGGGAGTTTTTTTAAACATTTTATTTCCATTTTTATAAAGAGATTAATTTAATTCGAGTTTCTCATCGCAGACAAAAAGCTAAGTTTATTGTTTTTTACTAAGAACAGTATGCATTTCTTATCTTTTGACCTCTGAAACTATTAAGCTTATTATAATAAATTAAATTCTTTTATTGCATTCTAGATTAAAAAATATTTAATCTTTCCTTTGATTTTTTCAGCCGCTTGTTTATTTTCGCTTGATGATGTCATCGGCAGTTTGGATTATAGGATTACTTTTTATAAATCAGGGATCCTCCTTTCTTCTAGATGAAGATTGTGGTGTGGAGGCTTCCCTGCCCGTACCTAAAATGGTTCACGGAAGACCCGCGGAAGTTTTGGAAAACCCATGGCTGGTCATGATTAAAAACGCATCCTCATTTATCTGCGGTGGAACGCTTATTAGCAATCGTTGGTATTCAATACAGAACAAAGAAAGATAGACGTCTAAAAAGCTTATTTCTCAAGGTTTCGTGTTGACGGCTCAGCATTGTATTTGCAAAACAGACGATTGTAAAGAAAAATTCACTGAACTGTAAGTACTCCCATTATTTCGTAGAATTTTAGGACACAGTTTTACACAACATTTCTTTAAAAGCTATGCTAGGTTGGGAGAATATAACCGAACATCGGAAGCGAAATTCTTTCTTCCCGAAGACTACACTGTGGTGAAATTCTACATCCCAAAAGAGAAGTTTTTGGTAGAAACCCAAGTGAATGATATAGCTCTGCTCAAGCTGCATAAGACCGTGACCTACAAACAGCACATTCGACCTATTTGCATTATATCAGACAGCCGCAAGAGATTGGACACCCAGATCATCACAAAATTCACGGCTGTCGGTTGGGGAAGAACGGAGAATAACACCTTAAGTGATGTGATTAGAAAAGCCGAAGTCAACCGACTCGAAAGCAATGATTGCGCCGTCCTTTCCTATAGGGATTTGACCGACTCACAGATCTGTGCTGGCACGGGAAACCATACGGATACCTGCAAAGGAGATTCTGGAGGACCGTTGTACGCAAACGTTACCTACGGTGGTGTATTGCGAAAAACCCAGCTGGGAATCATTAGCTACGGAACTCCACAGTGTGCCGGACTAGGTGTGTACACCGACGTAGTGAGCTTTGCCGACTGGATCGAAAAAACGATGGCGTCGGACATCACAGTGGTACTTCCCACGCTGGACCTGCTGGATAAGGGATGCTTGGATACCAAGGGAGCAACGCCCACCAAAGATATGTTGGGCCCATCTACTTTTCCTTGGTTCGCGCGGGTATACATGGACAACTATTCGTTGTCCTACGGCGCCCTGATAACCGATAGTATGTCCCTGCAATTGCTTTCCTGTGAAATCGCCTTAAGTTCGCTTACCTTTCAGGTTTTGTGCTGACGACTGCCGAGTTCCTTTTGGAAACTGCTCCATTGTAAGTACTTTTATTTCACTTCGAGACGAACCATGAAATTTTCCTTCAAATTCAGGCATGTTCGTTTGGGGGATCCGGGTAAAGGTACCGAAGAGGTCTACAAAGTGAAGTCTGTGCACAGGCATTCTAAATTCGATAACCAGATTGCGAACGACATTGCTCTGCTCGAATTGGAAAGGAAAGTGGAGTTTACCGGTAAGTATGACAAGTTAAAATCTTTTTCTTATGATAATAAGAGGCTCTTCCTTTTTTTGTAGATCACAAAAAGCCGATTTGTCTGCCCTCATTGACCAACAAGGCAGAGCAGGAGCGGTTTGAAAATAACGCTGATCTGGCGCAAAGTCTCATGACCATCGGATGGGATAGAAACAAGGCAATGGTAATTCCACGGAGCGATTCCAGCAACTGCTACCGCAAGGATAACAAAAACATTGATTCAAACCAAATCTGCATGAAGTTGTCCAATCCTTACCTTAACTACGTAAGTAGTGGGAGTCCCCTATTTAGGAGGCTTCCCTATGGAAACAGCAAGGTTTTCACTCTTGTCGGACTGGCCAGTTTTGAAATCCGCGGAAGCTCTCAACTTGTTTACACCAATGTTTTTGGCTACATGGATTGGATAAAGAATTTATTAAAGCAGTAAAGCCTCCCGAGGCCAACAACAATAAAGGCAATAAAACTGTTGATAATGGTTCCTGGAAAATATATTAAAAACAAAAATTATTTCGTTATCTCAATATCACATACAACTTAAGGTTTTGGGAATTTTGTAGCTCTTAACAGTTTGCTAATTTTATTCCTTTTGTTTTGTTAAAGAAAATATGCTCTTTTGGATTGAAGCTTAAATATAGATATTTCATTTTTAACGAATTTATTTATTTTAAATTTCGAAAAGATATTTTAATTAAAAATTTGTACAGCCCAAATGTTGAAAGCCCATTTCAACTAAAAAAAAATAAATTTATGGAAGCAGAAATCAATACCTTAAAATGTTATTTTATAAACTTTTATTAATCTTTGTAAAACACATCGTAAAAAACAATAACAGAAGCCCAAAAAAAATTAAGATGTAATAAAAAAAAATTTGATTATAGTATTTTTACCCAGCCGGATGTGATTTGTAATCGGCAACGGCCGGTCACACTAATATTCAAGTAAGAAGCAGCACGCGCCGCAGAAATTTGCCAATAATTTTCGCACCTCCCTCGCAAGCGTCGCAAGCGAAGGCGTTGTGAGATGGCAATGGCAACGGGAGCTGGAGCAGGAGCAGTAGGCCCAGGAGCAGGCGCCTCCGTAGAGCAGCTGGTGGCTCAGACACTGCAGGCGGCCACCAATCCGAGCCACGAGATCGTCCAAAAAGCGGAGGCCCAACTTCGCGAATGGGAACAGCAGCCGGGCTTCTTTCCCACGATTGCTCGGCTGAGCATGCGGAGGAGAGGTTGTGGTGATGGCCAGCATGGAGGGGCGTCCAGCACGGAAGATTCCGAGGTGAAGGTCCGCTGGATGGCGGCCGTATACCTGAAGAACGGCGTCGAGCGCTACTGGCGGCCCAATTCACGTCAGGAGCTGCCAGCAGAGCAGAAGCAGCAGATTCGGGAGGTTCTGTTGCGCCACTACGACGCGGAAGAGGTGCCTCAGGTCGCGCTGCAGATAGCCGTGTTGTTGGGCCGGCTGGCTCGCACGGATTACCCGCGTTTCTGGCCAGAACTGCTACCCACGCTGATGAAGCAGCTGCAAGCCTGCTCCACGGACGGAGAGTCGGCTCTGCAGCAGCGTATCCTCATTGCCTTGCACTACGTCTTGAAGGCGCTAGCCTCCAGGCGACTGATGGCCGAGCAACGGGCCTTCGAGGAGCTGGGCTCACAGATCTTCGGCTACTTGGCCTGGGACATCTGGGCACCGCTAACAACCCGCTTTCTGCAACTCGTCCGCAAGGAGGAAGCTCTGGCACTCAATGCCCTGCAGCGTGCCTATGTGGTGATGAGATCCCTGCGCAAGCTGGTGGTCTACGGCTGCGCCAAGCCGTACAAGTCTACGGACCACATGAACTTCGTCGAGCAGCTTTTCCAGCGCTTGCGCCAGTGCCTCGAACTGCGCTATGAACTAAGGATGGGATCGGCCACGCCCGGCATTGCGACAATACTCACCGAACTGGAGCGCTTTGTGATCAAGATGATGAAGACCCTCAACGAACTGATGGAGCGGCATTCGGTCTCCTTTGCGAGGTTCGTTCCGGTGGCCCTGGAGTTCAGCTTCCATTATGTGTTCCACGAGGGCACCGCCCTCATCTTTGACGCCGGCGATCGGATCAACTTCAGCAACTTTGCCATCCAGGCACTGAACATGCTGAAGGGCATCATGCTGAGCGGCAATGATAGCATCAGTGCCACGCCCGAGGCGGGAGCTTCCATAGAGGATGAGTTGCTGGCCAGCGCGGCCCAGAGCCACGCCAAGTTCTTCACGGCGGAGAGGGTCACGTACATTTGTGAGAAGATCGTGACACACTACTTTCTGCTTACGCAGCAGGAGCTAGAGGAGTGGCAGCAGGATCCGGAGGGTTATGACCAGGACGACGGCGGCGGCGATGCCTGGAAGTACGCGCTGAGGCCTAGTGTGGAGACCCTCTACTTTACCTGCTTCACGCAGCACTCGCAGGTGATGATCCAGGAGGTGCTGCGCTTCGTGAGACGCGCTCAGCAGCTGCAGCTCACCCCGGAGTCCGATCTGAAGGCCATCCTGCTGAAGGACGCCATCTACAATGCCGTGGGCCAGGCGGCCTTTCACTTCTTCAATAAGCTGGACTTTGGCGCTTGGCTGACATCACAGTTGCTGGCGGAGTTGCGCGTGGAGGCTCCGAACTTTCGCATCTTGCGGCGTCGCATCATCTGGCTTGTGGGCCACTGGGTGGGCGTCCAGCTGCCCCGGGAGCTGCGTCCGCTGGCCTACGAGGCGTGCTTGCATCTTCTCCGGCCGCAGGAGGACATGCCAACGCGGTTAGCCGCCGCAAGAACCTTGAATCTGCTAATCGACGACTTTGAGTTCATGCCCGAGGCCTTTCACCCGTACTTCCCCTCGCTGTTTGAGGCTCTGTTCCTGCTGCTCCACGAGGCCGGCGAGTGCGACACCAAGATCGTGGTCCTGGGAACGATGACCCTGCTGGTGGAGAAGATGAGCGAATATATTGAACCGCAGGCGCTGCAGTTCATTGCCTACTTGCCGCTCCTGTGGCGCGAGAGCGAGGAGTACGACCTGTTGCGCTGCGCCATCATTGGAACGCTGGAGCAACTAGTCCGAACGATCCGGGATGTCCCAGAGCCCATGAAGCCCTTCCTCTACAGCGTCATCGAGTTGAGCACGGACCTCCAGGTGAGCAGTGGCCATAGATTACTGATTAAGTAGGGAATTCGGTTTGAATTTTTAAGGCTGTAGATAAATGTTTTTATAAGTGAAATGGCAATTTTTAGTTGAGTTTGCAGTTTATTTTCCATAAAAGCGAACTACTCTAAAAATCCAGTTGGTTAAGCTGAAGACGTCTGTGTAGACTCCTACGCCTCGACAAGACCGGTGACCATAGCTCACGATTCCGAACTGAATGGAGAGGGTCCTTCGGCCATCTGACATTTTGTGGACCAGCGGTCCGCCCGAGTCTCCATTGCAGGTGTCTCCTCTGCTGTCACCCGCGCAGAACTGACCCCATTTCAAAGTAACGCCCAGGGATTTCAGGCACTCACTTGGATCGAGCTTGGTGAGGACCACCGTCTGCAGCACCTTGGCGACTTCATCCCGGTCAGTTCTTCCCCATCCTGTGGCCTCGAATCTGGGGGTAAACGCAGCCTGCGATGGATCTCGCAGCAGACAGATTGGCTTGATGTGATCTAAATGTGAAAAATGTCAAAAATTAAGTAATACTTTGTTCTTTATTAGATTTTTTCACAGCAAGAAGGACTGTGCATTATTTTGTTGATTAGATACTTAGAACTTTTGTTGGAACTGATAAATTATTTATTATACGAGTTTAAAAACTGTTTAGTCCTACCTTTAAACAAGACGTATTTTTTTAGTTTAATCAACATTATGTCATATGTCATGGGATAACCCCATTGGCTTTCCTCGTAGAGAATATGTCGAATTGCCATTTCGGGCTCATAATCCTCATACGCAGGGATGCAACCTTGAATGGTGCAGTCGTTTGCTGTTGATGTATCGTACTCCCCGAGGCGAACAGTTCTGCATTGAATAATCTGTATATAGATTGCGAGACTCTTAAAGCTATAGAAATACTTACACTGTGGACGTACAGTGCGCTGCAGTCAGCACAAATCCTAGAAGAATCAGAATGATTTTCAGTAAAAGACATATGTATACCTAAGTACACTTCAAGCAACTACGAACTATGAGTGATAAGCGTTCCGGCACAAACAAGCGTCGAGTTTTGGTGCAAGTAAGCCATCCATGGGGTCGTTCCGATCTCTGCATTTTCTCCATTAGAGATTCGGTTTGAGGTTAGCTTGCCCGTCCCGCAATTGGACTCCAAAAACTGTGCGTGCAAAGCATGGGGCAGATATAAAAGGCAGGCAATTCCCGCAATCCACACAGACTTCATCTTTAATTTTGGTCTTGGCTGACCGACGGTTTAGCTTTTATTAAATGGGTTTTTTCCCAATACCAAGTGGTTGGCGTTATCACATACGACATATGTATTTTCAAGAGAATGTTTTAAATGTATATAAGCAAGTTGAGTCACAGCTACTATAGCAATATATCATTAAGAAGTTCTTTTGTTTTTAATTGCAATGAATCCACACTAAGTAGTATGATTTCCATCAACAGCAACACTCGCACGTCTACCTCATCGAGGACGGGATTATGCTCTGGCTGGCGGTGATCGGGAACTCGACGGCGCTGACCCCGGAGCTTCTGGCGCTGTGCGACCACCTGCTGCCCATCATCGAGATGTCGTCGGAGAACCTGCGCACTGTGCTGCAGCTGATCCACGCCTACATCCTGCTGGACGCCCAGGCCTATCTCAGTCGCTACGGTGAGGGATTCGTGGCGTACTGCGTGCGATCCTTCGAGGACATCCGCGTGGAGGGCATCATCGCCATGCTGCGCATCTTCGAGACTTGCCTGAAGACGGACGCGGCGATGGGACTGCGGCTGGTGCGTCCCGCACTGCCCTTCGTCTTCCAGCAGGTGTGCCTCAAGCAGGAGTACCCCATGACCATGGGCTGGTACCTCACCATCGTGGCCCGCACCCTGCTGATCGACCAGTCCGTGTTCATGTCGGTGGTGCAGCAGCTGCCGCAGGCGGACGCCCTGGCCCGCATCCTGGACGTGTGGATCGAGATGTTCCCCATGGTACCGGACACGCACGCCGAGAAGCGGAAGCTCTTCTGCCTGGCCTTCGCCTCGATCTTCGGCAGCAACGAACTGCTGCTCGCCCGCCTGCCGCACATCCTGCAGCTGGTGGACGAGACCCTGGGCGAGGTGATGGACAAGCAGTATGCCGCCGCCGAGGAGGGAGCGTCGAAGACGACGCCCCGCTTCTACGACTCGTTGGTCATCCACGACGAGCACGAACTGGACGAACTGCAGCAGCAGCTGGGCAGCGGCGGCGGTGGCGGTGGCGTCAGCGAGGACTTCCACGCCAAGGGATATCCGGCGAAGACCTACCACGACGACCGCCACCGTCAGCTGGTGCTGAAGGATCCCGTCTACAAGATACCGCTCACCGAGTATCTCAAGTGGCAGCTGCAGTCGCTGCAGGCGCAGCTGGGTGGCCAGCGGTACGAGCAGCTGATGTGCTCCGTGGTGCCGGAGGTGCGCGACAGGATCACCATGTACATAGAGCAGACGGTGCCCAAGGCCTGCGTGGTCTGCGCTGGCTCCGGTTCCGGTTCGGGCTCTGGTTCTGGTACTGGTTCTGGTTCCGGTTCGGGAGCGGGAGCGACGGCGGACGAGACGCTCGCCGAACAGGTCGAGTCCGGCTGATCCCGGACTGCTGTGCTTCAAAAGCTTTCTACACTAAGTTATTAATGTATTTTGTATTGAAATTATATATTTTTAATTGTTAATTATTTCTATTTATTAATTTAATTAATTTATTAGTGGTTAGTGGTGAGTGGTTAGTCCACCGCCGGTCTCCGTTCCATCTTCCCCCTGAGGAGCGTTCGAATGGTCTCGTCCTTCTGCTGCAGCTTGTGGCGCAGCTTGTCCAGCTCCTCGGCGTTTCGGGCGTGCAATCCGCGCAGCTGCGACTCCTTGTGCTGCACCAGCACCTCCAGTCGACGGACTGCCTCGTAGGTCTCTCGCACCTCCGCCTGCCCCGCCTCCAGTTTCTGCGCCCACTGGAGGGCCATCCGAAGGCGGGCCTTCAGCCGATCCCTGCCATGCTTGGCCTTCTCCGTGCTGCGGATGAGGGACGCCGCCCGTGCCGTGGTGGCCTGAAGCTGATCCTGCAGGGCGGACCGCTCCCTGGCGTGCTCCTGCCTCAGCTGCTCGAGCAGCGCCTTGCACTGGTGCACTGCCTCCGATTCGGCGGCAGGAGCGGGAGCTGCAACTGGAACCGCAGGTGGAGCTGCAGCTGCTGATGCTGCACTTTTGAGGGCGGCCAGTTCCGATTTGGTGCGGGCGTAGGCCGCCTGCAGGTGGTCCATGTCCAGGAGGAGCGTTTGGGTGCGCTGCTCGTAGCAGTGCATCACCTCCACCAGCTTTTCCTTGGCCAGGTCGGTCTTGCGGGTCTGGGCCTCCGCCTTGGAGCGGCACACACCCAACTGGGCCTGCAGGCACACGCGCTCCTCGCGCCAGCCGCCGAGATCGCGACGCAGCTGCTCCTGCGACTGCAGCTGGAGGGGATTAGGTTAAAAAGGGTGGATTGAAGAGGAAATAGATGGTTCCCAGGCGGCTTGCTTACCAGCTTTGTGTTCTCCTCCAGAGCTCGCTTCAGTTCCCCGGTGAAGTGCTCGAACTCCGTGTTGAACTGAGCCAGGAGTGCATCCTTATCCCTCAGAGATTCGTCGTAGGCCTGCAGGAGTGGACCCAGCGTATGGGTGGGTAAGGGTGGATACGATGCGGATGGTGTCCTGGCTTTGGTTGATGCTCCCCCGTTGCAGGCTCCTCGCCATGGCGCCTTTGATCCTGGTAGCTTTCGATCTGCACATTCAGCCGGAAGACGAGCGTCTTCAGCATGTCCACGTCGGCTTCCAGCGATCGATTCTGGCCGAGAACGGTGTCCAGGCGCTGGCCAAGCTGCTGGCAGCGCGAGCAGTTGGCCACCTGCTGCTCCGCCTCCGAGAGCCGTCGCTCCAGCTGGCCACTGTCCTGACGCAGTTGCTCGTTCTCCTTGGCGAACTGCTCGTTGTAGCGATGCAGAGTGGCCAATCGCTGGACGAGCTGCTCCAGCTGCTGCTCCTTGGCCTGCAGCTAAAGTGTATATTTAATGATTGGGTTATCTATTGGCCAGATTGATTGTGCTTACCAGCGTGTTGAAGGAGCGTTCCTTCCTGCGATCCTTGTGCCCCGTGGCCGAGTTGTCCTGGCGTTGCTTCGCCTCCACCTCAACGCTTCGCGAGCGGCGACTAAAGTTCCCTGAGAGCGTCTGCAGGACCTTCCTGTTCCGCTTGGGCTGCTGCTGCTCGGGATCTGGCTGGTCCAAGTCCGTGATCATCACGTTCCGCGTGCCCATTTTGGCAGCTCTCCTCGCTCGAATCCCGACACTTTGTGCCTGGGCTGCTTGTAAACAAAGCCGAGCCACACCCGCCCCAAAACCCTTGTCCTGGCCACGTTGCCATGGCTCCTGGTCGGGTGTTTGACCCTGTTTTTCGGCCAGCCTGTCAGCCACCCTCTTCCGGGAGTCCAAACCCGCCCTCTGTATCGATACCTGTTTCACAAATGAATTATTTACCAGACTTTGGGTGGAAAAATATCACCAAATCATTGTTTTATGAAAGGAAATTATATTTTTAAAAGCCCTGGAATGAGAATAAATACTGTATGATGTTTTTAACTTAAGAATAGAATAAAGATTATAATCAGTGGTAATGTTTAATATTTTTCTACGAATTTTTGAGCATTAATGTCAAATTAATAATTCAGGTGACCCTGAAATGATTTATTAAATTTTTTATCAGTACTATTTGATTACAAAATTTTAAAGTAGATACATTTATAATAATTTGAGTTTTGTAGGTTTTTGACAAAAGGGCGAAACATACCAAAACATTAAAAATTAATTGATGCGTGTTTTTAATTTTAAAATTTTTGAAAAGATTTTTTTTTCGTTTTTATGGTGGGGCATACACCACAATTGTATGTCTCTTGGCTTTATATAGTACGACTGTTCATTTTGAGATAAGGTAGCGTATAATGTGATGTTCGGCGGAGCTCTCGTTTAGTTCGCTCTCGATTCGTTCAGATGAGGGGTCTTTTTCTAGCGATCGCAGCACTCGCCGTCGGAGTCCTCTGCGCTCCAGTCAGTTCCACCTTATTGGAGCCACACTGTGGCACTATGCAAAGGAAAGTTTCTTACCGAATATCTGGTGGCATGAACGCGCCTATTACTCCTTGGCTTGCTTATATCCACTCCTCGACTCGGCTGCTTTGCGGAGGCACCCTAATCACGAACCGTGAGTACTTGTGGCATCTTCCAACAGCTGGTTAACAATAGGTTTCTTCGACAGGGTTCGTCCTTACAGCAGCACACTGCATCACTCAAGGAATCGCCGTGTAAGTACATGGATAACCCATTGAAAACTTTACCTTCGACCTGTTTGATTTGAGTAGAAAGGTGCGCCTTGGGGAGTACGATGAAACCACCAGTATGGACTGCGTCGACGGGGTCTGCCTTCCGAGAGCCGAGGAGTACAACGTGGACATGGCCATTAAGCACAGTAAATTCAGCCTAACGAAACAGCAAAGCGACATCGCTCTCCTCCGCCTGGATCGCATTGTGACGTACAGACGTAAGGTTAACATATTCACTCCCATGGATTTGTTATTATGTTCGTTTTTTAGCTGGTCGCATCTATCCCATATGCATTATTTTGGACAAATCTTTGGAGAGCCGCATCGAGGAACTTCAGTGGTTCGAAGCCTTTGGATGGGGTGATACCAATTCGAACAGGACTCGGGGTGCTCTCCAAACCGTGAAGCTTCAGCGGATTGATAAGAGGCAATGCAGAAATGACCTTCAGGTGGAACTGAACCATAAACAGTTCTGTGCGGGAAGTGAAGCCGGAGATACGTGCAATGGGGATTCCGGAGGTCCTCTTACTCGGATTGTGAAGTATGAGGGTCGAAACCGAACTGTTCAGATCGGAGTGGTCAGCTTCGGCAGTGTGGAATGCATCGGCATCGGAGTGTATACAAATGTGATCAGCTATGTCGATTGGATCGCCAATGTTGTGCAGATGACGAAGGATATCATAGCACCAGTAATGCAATAATTAAAACTAATCGAAATAATTGTGGGATAAAGATTTATCAGGAAACCGTAAATCTTTGTTGTTCAGTTTTCTGTTGAAATATTAAAAACATTCTTCCGATTGTGGTCTTTAAATAATTTTAAAAAATTTGTGTTATCTCCTTCACTTTTAACAAAGAGAGGATTTCAAGAGCAGATCATAATTACCTCAGTCGGAATAAAACGAAATAAATTTTGACAATAACTTAAACATACATAATATTCATTAGGATCATCAATGTCTGTCTGTCTGCCGTCCGAAGAAAAGCTACAATGTTGTGATCAAAAATGTAGATTCTTGTTATTTGTCGCAGCGCAAGTTTGTTACATTTTTGTGCCACGCCCACTATTACGTCGAAAGGCGTCTCCACCTTTCAGTATGAACGTCTAAATCTTCAAAACAATTAGAGCTAAAACAGTTTTTTAAACCTGAAACAAATTTCTTACAGTGGATTAACATCGTGATTGATTCCATAGAAATTAATTTCTGATAAGGTCGCTTGAGTCTCATTTAACAAGCATCGACAATGGCCCTGAGTTCAGTAACCATTCAACCGTCCCGCGAAATGAGGATTTCCTCGGCTTGGCTTTTCGTTTTGGTTATCTGCATTATTCAAAAGCAGGCCTACTTAGCCTTATTTCTGTTCCCAACCTGCGGAATATCCTATGAGTCACTTTTCTCCTCCAGAATTTTTGGCGGAAGGGAAGCCGTAATTAAATCGGCGCCATTTATGGCGTATTTGTTCTACCAATCCAAACTTTATTGTGGCGGAACGATTATCAGTCAGAGTTCGTATAAAATTTCTTACTGTATCTATAGAATTTTCTAATTGCTTTTTATTTTCAGGGCACGTATTGACAGCTGCTCACTGCATCAGATCACATTTGTAAGTATCCTACACTCAAGAGAAACCACTTTGAGGCTAACTTTCGTTTCTGGAATGCAGAAAGGTGCGTCTGGGGGAGCACGATAGAAGAACGAATCCCGACTGTCAGGGGATAAGTTGCAGTCCGCCCGTCGAGGACTTCGAGATTCAAAAGGCCACAAAGCATCGATCCTTTTCTAGGAACCTAGTCCACGACATTGCTCTGCTCAAGCTGAACAGGAATATTGTTTTTAACAGTGGGTTTTCTACTACGATATTTGCAAGGTTATCTGTCAAGTATCGAATATAGCTAACTTGCTTACTCCCCAGTTCACATCCAGCCAATCTGCCTGCTCCTTAATCCGGCGGCAGCGCCCCACGTGACCGAGTTCCAGGCCTACGGATGGGGCAGAACCGACACCAACTACTCCTCCAATGTGCTCCAGACCACGAGACTAACCAACTACGAACATGGCTACTGCCGCTCGGTGCTCCCACTGCCGGTTACGCAAAACCAGCTGTGCGTCGGCTTCCAGGGAACGGACACCTGCTCCGGCGACTCCGGAGGACCCCTGGTGGTCAAGGTGGTATACGACGGAGTGGCCCGCCACCTGCAGGTGGGCATCGTTAGCTACGGCGAGGATCGGTGCCACAGTCCGGGGGTCTACACATACGTGCCAAACTACATTGATTGGATTCGATATGTTATACGCGCATTCGGATAATAAGTACCTATAATCATACATTATAGATTGTAATAAAAACCAATGGACCAAAGCACCTCCATATCAGTGATCATTTCATGGAGGGTTTCCTGAGAACTGCTGTTTACAAGAATTTCTGGGCTGATAAGCTCGGTGTGGAGCTTACTAAACAGCACAACCAATTGCACAGAGTTCAGTAGCAACGTGTTCGTCACGCGAGATGGGGACCACCTCGGCTTGGACTCTTATTGGACTCTTTCTGATACTCCATCTGCATGCGCTGGATGGCTATTTCCTGAACCCGTTATGCGGGGTATCCTACCCGCCTTCGGTGAGCTCGAGGATCACCAACGGTAGGGAAGCCGTACTCCGATCGGCTCCGTTTATGGCCTACTTGTATGTGAACTCTTATCTTCATTGTGGAGGATCGATCATCAGTTCAAGTGAGAAATCCATAACTCCTTTAATTAACGCATTTGTGGGTAAATTCTTACTGGCTTTCTATTTCAGGATACGTTCTAACGGCCGCCCATTGCATAGTGAATCAGATGTAGGTAACCTCATCACAAATTGAGTCCCAAAGATTATCACTTTGCTTCTCTGCAATTAGAAAGGTGCGGCTGGGAGAACACGACGTGACCACGAATCCCGATTGTCAGGGAATGAGTTGCTCTCCCCCCTCTCAGGTTTACGATATCTCACTCGCCATAATGCACCGACTTTTCAGTAATTCAACCCTTGCCCACGATATCGCTTTGCTGAAACTGAGCAGAACCATCGAGTTTGATGGTAAGTAATGTTGGCAAAAGAAAAGCCAGGGAGGCAAAAATATAGGCTGTAAGGCTGTGTAGTTTATAAAAGCATTTTTGAGTACATAATTATTTTCAAATTGAAATAACCCTCAGGTATTTTGAGAACTGCAGAGATAATCAATTCGATGGCTTTTCATTCACAGCGCATATTCAGCCGGTCTGTTTGGCCCTTAGCCCAGCGACTACCGCCAACTTGCGAGAGTTCCAGGCCTTCGGATGGGGCAGGTTCAACCAGCGTCACTACCCGACCAAGCTTCAGACCACGATGCTAACTCGAATGGACAACAGCTACTGTCGCAGGGCGGTCAACATGCCAATGACCAACAACCAGATTTGCGCGGGCTTCGAGGGAACGGACTCCTGTAAGGGAGACTCCGGTGGTCCGCTGGTGGCCAAAGTGAACTTCGACGGAGTCAATCGATACCTCCAGCTGGGCATCGTGAGTTTCGGACCCGACTATTGCATGAGTCCGGGAGCCTACACTTATGTGCCGAACTACATCGATTGGATCAGGCAGAAGATGCGGATAAATGGAAATTAATAACCTCAATTCTTGTCTGACATTAATATTATCAATCCGGGCATCAAATAAACACAGTTCATTTAAATTCTTCGAACAAAAAAGATTTTTTTTGAAGGTTTTAAAGAAATGCCATAAATAACAACTAATGAGTCACTTAAACTGAAACTTATCGCCGCTCTTTGCGAGCTTTAAATATTTGATAAGGATTGAAATGAGATTGGCTATGGCTCGCGGCATAAATAATTTCAGTATGAACTCGTCGCCTCAATCGAAATGAAGAACATAAATTCTGTGGCCGTGCTCGCCAGCTTGCTTATTTTATATTCAGAAGCTGGGTCGGCAGATTTGCTTTTTGAGAAATGCGGAGGGATGCGGGGAAATCCCACGGAAACTCTGGGTCCCTGGACAGCTCTTTTGCACGAGAACGGAACTATCTTTTGCGCCGGAACCCTGATCACAAATCGTATGTACTATATGCGCGAAGAGGTTTATGCAATATCTAACATCAGGCTTTGTTATTTTCCAGTGTTTGTTCTGACTACTGCAAGCTGTATCAAAGCTAACAAGACTGTGTGAGTACACTATCGTAATAAAATATGAAACGTAAATGAAACATAAAACTTACTTGGATGAACTCTTAATTGCTAATTTCCTAAAAGTATTTGGATTCAATTGTTCTTATTTTAACTCATTCAAATTTAAACTTATTTACATTTTACTTGTTAATCTTATTATATTTTCGAGTAGGGCGATATTTAATATTTCCTATTTTTTTTAGAAAAGTTCGATTGGGACAATTCGGACGGGATAGGGGCGAGTTTCCCGAGGATCATATGGTGCGCTTTTCTCTTAGGTATCGGTACTTTAACAAAGGCATTCCGGGCAACGACATTGGCCTTCTGAAACTTACCAAACAAGTAGATCTCAAAGGTTTGTAGTTATAAGGAATAAATATGTATACACATATATTATGCATATATTTGCACAGATCATATATCTCCGGTCTGCATCATCCTGGGTTCGCAACAGAGGTCGGTCTATGACTTCATTGGAAGTGCCTGGAACCAGATCAAGGATGAGTACATCGCAATGGAGCTCCGCCCCATAAGAATCAGGCCTAATTCGCAATACTGCCAGGAACTGAACGTTTACAACCAGTTCTGTGCTGGCCATCCCTTTAACTCAGGGTCCTGCGATGGAATCACCGGCTCGGCGCTTATCCAAAACTATAGAAACACGAACCAAGAATCAGCTGCTCAGCTGATCGGCATCGCGACCGCGGACAACATGGAGTGCCAGGGAGCCCAAGCATACACCAACGTAACTGAACTCCAGGTGTGGATTGCGAGTGTCGTGTCGGTTTTTACACTTTATAATCCCACATCCAGCTATCTTGCAAGTCAGTTTTCCGAACAGATCTTCGCTTAAACTAGGTTTTATGTGAAATAAAAAAATATTTTAAAATTTTATTTTAACTTAATGAATTCTTACATATTTCTCTTAAAAACATAAATGGCAAACGGAGGTTTTTATACCCGTCCAAAAATGGAATAAAAAAAGATAAGGTTATGCAAAACGCTAGGAAACAAAAAAATTTAGTATATTTGTACCGATAGCACATACGTACGTACGCGTATTCATCGCCAAGAATTTTTGACTTGATTATGGAGTTCATATGGGCACATATGTGATTTGTTAGCTATAGAATAAAAGCACTTATAAAAGTTATTCCATAATGAATGCTGAACTGGAAAACCCACTAACACGATCGAAAATATGTATATTTTTTAGCATTTTGGCATACTCATTTAAATAAAAAAAAACCCAAAAAAGCCAAGATAAGAAGCTTTAACTCTGAGCATTAGACTTTTAATCATCAGTTCGTTAAAATGACTTGTGGTGCGATGAAGGCTGTCTTGGCTGCGATCGCAGTGATCGGATTCTTTTCGTTCCAAGTCCCGGGTTGTCAAGCCCAGCTCTTAGAACAGAATTGCACAGGTGTACCCAAGATATCCTTTAGAATCGTGGATGGCACCACTGCGAAACTTGGCAAATATCCCTGGATGGCCCTCGTGAGCACGAAAACCCACTTCATTTGCGCTGGATCCCTCATCAGTCACTGTTTGTTTGAATTTTACATATTTATTATTTAAAATTATTAACTAATAATAAATACCTACATTTTAGGGTTTGTTCTGACTGCCGCACATTGCTTCGAACATGATCCATTGACTTAGTAAGTATGCCGCTTGAAAAATATAACTTATAGTGTATTAACTAATGGTTGTTCTTTTAGTGTTGTTCGCCTGGGCGAGCACGACAGGGACAGCCCAGTGGACTGCTGGAATGACAGGTGCCAGAACTACGAGGAGTACAATGTGGACATGTCCTTCCAACACAAGTACTACAATAAAATAAACCAGGTGTTCGACATCGGATTACTGAGGCTTGCGAGGAAGGTGGAGTTCCATGGTGGGTCAAGTGAGCACCCTTTTGGGAAATATTATTTAATTAACTTTGTTTTTATTCAAGCTCACATACAGCCCATCTGCATTTTCACGTCCAGCCAAATGAAGTCGACTGTGGACGGGATGACCTGGTTCATGGCCGCCGGCTGGGGACGGACTTCCGGAGAAGAGGGCAGCCTGACGAGCCGCGTTCTCCAGGAACTGAAGATCAACCGCCGACCGAAGGAAGATTGCATCAGGGAGTTTGCCCAGAACTTGACTCCCGAACAGATCTGTGTCGGCAACACGAACAGTAATCTCTGCAATGGCGACTCCGGAGGTCCACAGTTCCGACAGTTGGTGTACGAAGATAAGGTGCGCTACTTCCAGCTTGGAATCGCCAGCTACACGAAAGAAGGCTGCAAAGATGTGAGCATCCTTACGGATGTCGTGAGCTACGGTGAATGGATCCAGGATGTGGTCCAAGCCTATACACCCTGGGAGCAGCGGAGAAATTGGTTTATATGGGATAAGTGCAGTAAATAAATACATATATTATCGTTGAAACCATTTTATTCCTCACTGTTTAATAAAGTTGCTAAATAAAAATTTCCGTACAGAAATTAACGTTTTTTCTGTTACATATAACTTAACATAATTAATGAAATGTTATTTTTACACTAATCAATCATTAAACTTTGTTACTGAACTTACTCCCGACTAGATTTACTCCCCACTGTACTAACTATCCTCTTGAATTTGCGGCAATAAACATTTACTCCTATGTTAATTTTTTATGTGGTGTACGAAACCGGGAAATTTCCTACGCATTCAGATACGCAGAATTATTGGAAGTCCCCTCAAATAATTGTTCAGCAGAATAATAATAGCGATAAGAGCTCGCATAAAAGACTTAAGCTGGCGATCGAGGCCTTCCATCGTCAGTGCCAACCGAAGAGTCGTCGCGAAATGAGAAGCTTAATCGCGGGGATTTTGGTAGTTGCCAGCCTTTTGCTCCGCTGCCAAGGAGCTCAGTGGCTCCTGGAGGAAGAATGCGGAGATTTTTCCCCTATTGTTGGAAGAATGGATAACGCCGAAAATGCGAAAATAGCTACTCATCCATACATGGCTTACTTGTACACACCCACTGAATTCCAGTGCTCCGGATCGCTAATCAATCACTGTACGTTGGCTAATTAGGATTTGTGAGAGAGATAGTAACTAATATCTTTTTAGGGTTCGTCTTGACCACTGCCCACTGCATTCCCGATGACCTGAACATGTAAGTTAATTTGATTTAGTTTAAAATAGAGAAAGTAATGTATCATGCAGTTGGTTTGTAAAACTGATAGTTTATTTCTTCCAGAATCGTTCGGTTGGGCGAGTATAACAGAAGGACCAAGGAGGACTGTGTGGGACGCTCTTGCCAAGGAGCCACCAAGGAGTACCAAGTGGACATGGCCTTCAAACATGATCAGTACGATCCGGATCAGCACACCGACAATATCGGACTCTTGCGCCTCGCTGAAAGGGTGGAGTACGAAAGTGGGTAGTGAGATTCCGAGTTGGGAAACTTTCCCCTAATTCATCTCCTGTCTTCAGATCATGTCAGCCCAATTTGCGTTTTTGTGAACACCGCTATGCAGAATAGGGTGGCTCAGCTCACTTGGCTTACGGCCACCAGTTGGGGCGACGTTCTCAAGGAGCTGAAACTCCAACGCCTTCCGAAGGAGGAGTGCTCCAATATATACGGCAGGGGCCTCACCTTCGACGAGATCTGCGCCGGAAAAGAATACGACAAGGGTGGCCTTTGTGAAGGCGATTTAGGTGCTGCTCAGGTTCGGCTAATGTGGCACAACCGGCGTAAGCGCTCCGTCCAACTGGGAATCGCCAGCGGGATGAACAGCGAGTGCGAGAAGGCAAGCATTCTCACGGATGTCGTGGGCTACGGTGACTGGATTAAAAGAGTGGTTCACCTGTATGGACACGTTGAGGAAACCCAGAGTCTTTCGGAGCCGAGTGTATGGATTGACTATGTATCCGGTTTTTATAAGCCTTTGTAGGCATGTCTGTCTGCCAGTGAACAAATTATACTCCAATGGGTGCGAAATGGATGTCTACGTTTTTCTTTTTTCTATTTTCTTGTTTTTGCAAACATAAGGAAAAACCAAAAATGAAAGCAAGCAATCTACTTCGCCTTAGTTCATTTTTTAATTATAACTAAAAGCTTATCGCTTTTTTGAAATACAGACTAGCAATCTCCAATCCAAGAATGAAGAAGATTAATTCTCTAAACATTTTGCTTAAATGCTACAAAACTTTGTTTTCATTTCAAAAATTGTACGTCATGTGATTCATAAAAGAACACATTTCTCAACAGATTAAAACTGATAAGAGTTTCGGTCTCGTTTTGAAACAAAAAATATATAAACAGAAAATGTATAACAATATTATAACAGTTTATTATGTTCGTTGTTACATGTCTGAAGTTGGTTGAGAACCTAGATTAGTGCATGTAAAATGTAGAATGTTGAAAAGTAAAATGAGCTGATGGCTTACGTCTATGAAAGCAAAAATAAATTGAATACATTTTCATATATATTTTATGTATGTATTTTAATTTTAAAATAATTTTTTTTAATTAAAAAAAACTCCATAAACCAGTACGCATATAATTATAAGTCTTCGAGTTATCAGTGGCATAAACCCTGTTAAACTGATCTCAGTATAGTCAATTAAAGTCGAGTTTAACAAAAATCAAAAAAGTTAATCTACTGCAAAACAGTTAGCAGGAAAAACAAAGCGCTAGACCCACACTTGTGCCAACAAACAAAACCCAATTGCGATTATTAGCAAAGGTCAGCTTCCAAATCGGGTCACGGGTAAAAAAGAAATTATTGTGACGAAGTCATGTTCGATTACACGTGCTTATAATAAATGTATTTTTTATAAACAACCGCTGATCGCTTGATTTTGCAACCCGTTTGAGGGGAGGGCGGCAAACTTGCTAATCGTTTTTTGCGAGCCCCTCCCGATTCGAGAACATATGGCATTTGAGTCAGCCGTCAGCCGTGAATTGGCAATATAGCCAAAGGCACCTCAATATTTTCGAAACTCTCATTTTTTGATACAATAATATTTATATAGTTTATTTGTAGGGGTTAAAACTTAATTAATATATACAGAGTACACTAAGAATCGAGGGGTTGAGTTGAAGTAATAACTTTTCATTATGCTGCTTTCGATGAGAATGCGATTGGCGTTATTTTTGCAGTGTTTTTACGCTGTGTCGTCGAACCGGCAATAAACACAACCGGTTGTTCTGTTTACTCGATCGCAGCGGACTAGGGTAAATCTAACTCTGAGTCCGGAGAGTTTGGCTAAATCACTGCATGGCGTGTCTGGGATGGATATAGTGGGATCCGGAGTAGTTATCCTCCCGGGCTATCACGGACATCAGGATCATCAGGCTGCCGGCGATCAGAGCTCTGACGAAGGGGCCAACGAATCGGAAGTTCTCCATGTTCTGTTGCTTGATTTGTGCGACTCGAGGCGTAAACAATTAGCAGTGCTACCGCGTCTGGTTTTGAAATGAGACTGAGCTCTCGAGCCGATAGCGCCGGGAATTTATTGCAGCTCCAAACGACGTATTTTCCCCAAGGCGACTCAGGTAGTTTCCCAGTGGCCGGCTTGGTAATGCCCCGGTCTTTACATTGCCACAAAAGAATGTGTTACTGCACTCGGGGAGTCGGAACAAATCGAATAACGCCCCGGCCGCCGGGATCGTTGACTGGCTCTCTGAACTGGGCCTTAATGAATTCAGCTAACACTTTTTCGGGATGATCTACGTGCGACGATTGCAAAGCGAATGTAATCAGTTTTTTAAGATGGGGCAGCTGCGTAATTTGTTAGCTCATTGCTCTTCAGATCTGGCACAGACTCGACTCGAGAAACCTGCAATAATCGGCTTAAGTCGGAACCCCTCTCAAGTTGATTTCTTCTGGACTCACCTTACATATCGCCGGAACTTGGGACTTTGGCAGAGTTGAGTGCAGCAGCGCCACATTTTGTGCGAGATCTTTCGATAGAGGGAAATGGTATTCGCAGAAAGAGATTTTGGAATATGGAAGGGATTCAATGGAAAATCCAGCTGTATATTCTGCAAGTGCGGCATCCTTCGATGAGGTCTTCTTCACGACTGACTGACGAGTGAGGAAGTAATATTCTCAGGTAGGCAAAAGCAGCTGCTGCTTTCCCGCCAAAGATGCAAGGGATTTTTGTGTGAACGGGACAGAATTAGCTCTAGTTACCTAGAATGCATAATTTGCAGCACAAAAAAAAAAAATCATCCAAAGAAAATGTACACTGAGAAAAACTTATGAGTACTGTATAAGTTGCAACGCATAAAATATCTTCCTATATGGCATTCTCAGAATATTGTTCCTTATTCCATTAAAATCTTGTTTGAAACTGAATGTCAAAGCATTAATAACGAAGTATTAATCTTATCAGCTTAATAGCTGTCTATAGAATATTGATTGATTGATTGCTTGACTATTTTCTTTAAACTTGTTTTGGTTTTTATTTGCATGTCAAAGTGCAATCGATCTGTAATAATTTAACAGGGATGATAACGTTTTCATTTATTTTGCATCTTGCTAAGTATTTACTCCATTCGTTTTTACTTATTATTGTATATTAATATATTCATTGCTGTAAATACATTCTTATTTTCAATTGACAACACAACAATCGAAACAGAGCATATAGCATATAGAACATCAAGAAGCTGGCCAGACGTCTTTGTAAGTTCAGATGCAATCTGGTTTGGGTGGAGCAATGACGGATATGCAATCATTGCTTCTGGCTTTTTGCCTGATTGTGGGATTGAAGCTGGGACTGGCAGATATTTCGGGAAATGGAACGGAGAGGCCCTGTAAGTGATAGTAGGTAAGGTTTACCCTACAGTAACCCTCTTCCTCGACAGATCCCACCTACTGCACCACCTTTGAAGAGAAACCAGGGAAATGCATACACTACAAAAAATGTCCGTATATCGCGGAGGTTATTACAAGACTGAAGGCGAAGAAGCAGCTCTCTGAAAGGGATCATGAAATAATGGCAAACTCTCTTTGTTCTGCAAACAATCAAGTAGGTAATTTTAATTTTAGTGATTATGGAGTGATAACTTAGTGCTCCACAGAAAGTTGTGTGCTGCGAGGAATTTAACAATGATGCGGGATGGGAGCTATTGAAGGCTTATGATCCTATATGTGGAGAGTTCGGCGATTCCAAGGTGACGGGAGGAAGGGAGATCAAAATGGGATCTAGACCTTGGATGGCTCTGCTCAAATACAATATCACCGACGTGTCTCAAAGGACCTCTTTCCTGTGCGGTGGTACACTAATTACTTCGCGTAAGTAACGCTTTGATCATTAATTCTTTGGTAAAATATAAAATGATTTCCTTGTTTTGCAGGTTACGTACTGACAGCCGCCCACTGCATAAGGCCAAACTTGTAAGTTATTCTGTTTTAAATATAAAACAATGTAACTGCAAATGAATATTCACAAACTTTATTCCTTTCTTAGGCTTTCAGTTCGCCTGGGGGAACACAGGATCTCCACGGAGCAGGACTGCGATACCTATGGCTCGATAGAAACCTGCCTGCCTCCTTACCAAGATGTTCCGGTGGAGAAGTTTATAGTTCACGAAGGCTTTCATGCTTTCACACTTTTCTACGATATAGCTCTACTTCGACTGGATCGATCTGTGACGATCACAAGTGAGTTCAGCATTCACTATCCAATATTATTGCTAAAATGTATCCATCGCAGGCTTCGTCAAACCGATCTGCTTGCCAATCTACGAGGAAGTGAAGAGGAGCATTTGGGGAAACAAGAACCAGCATCAGAAGGTAACCGGTTGGGGAATCACAGACAACTCCCTGCCATCCGATGTGCCGAAGGAAGCAGATGTTATCCGCAAAAGTCTCAGTGAATGTGCCCCGGGACGAACTCTAATGGACAACCAGCTGTGTGTGAGTGCCTTCGTCCAGGACAGCTGCCAAGGAGACTCCGGAGGACCTCTTCTCTACTCGTATTTGTACCAGGGACAACAGCGATTCGTGCAGACGGGGATCGTCAGCAAAGGACCCAAGAACTGCGGTACTGGATCCACTGCCATCTATTCGGATGTCACTCGATTTGTGCCCTGGATTACCCAGAACATTGAGATCTAGCGGATCAAAAAGCAGGACTAACTTTTTTCAAGATCAGTGGCACTATATCTTTTTGTATTTATTTTATATTAAAATACGTCACAATTTTTTGTATCACTTAAAACTGATAATAAAATGCATATACTTACACTTTGAAAATCAATACATTGTTAATTACACTATCATTTTTAAAAACTAGTTTTTATTTTTGTACTTTTTTGCTTATCTTGCCGGCACTTTGGAATTGGTAACATGGTTTAAAGAAGTATTGTCACTTTAGATCGTTTGTGTCTCAACGCTGAGGACGTCCACCAGCTGAGTGATTCTTTGGGCTCTCGTCAATTTCCAGGACACACAAGATAGGGCAGTTATGAAGAATCCAATCGCTAGGAAAGGAAATATTAACTAACTGGAGGCTAAGTTACAGTACTTCCACTCACCCATCAGCAAAATAGCCTCAGAGGTCTCGTCCTGCCAGGCTTTCGAGACCACACAGAGCAAAATAAACCCGCTGAGCAGGCAAAATGATCCCACAACCACAGCTAGTGTTATGAGTATAATTACTGGATCGTTAAGAGGTCCGTAATCGAAGAGGGTCCGACAGAGGGAAGGTTTTCGAGGCAGGGAAGTACCGCTGTTGAAACTGAATTGAATATTTGAAATTTCCCGGGACATAGAGCACTACGAACCAGGCTTGTGAGTAGGTGGGAAGAATTGAAACAGCTCTGCACTCCATCGCGCTTCTCGGGAAACTAAAGTTGCAGCTCCAGACTTTTCCGTTTTCGGGTGGCTGACACAGCCCCACTTCTCCATATTCTAAATTTAGTCGACGCGTGTCTCACTTCGGAGGTGGGGAGCAGTACCTTCTATTTATAGGTGTCTAGGAAATGCTTCGATCCAGCGGAACTAGAGGAACAGATGCAGTTCAGCTGGCTCCCCTCCTCCTACAGCCACAATGCATCTATTTTCGTCTTTATTTCCTTCGCAGGGTTCAATGCTCCTCCTCGGGTTTTCCAAGCTGAGGAAATCGAAGGGCCCGGAATGCCGTCTTGTAATGCAATAAATCAACTTCATTACGGGCGTAGCGAAATCGGGGGCGAACAAATGCGAATCATTAACTCGATGTCTCGAAGTTCACGTTTCGCATGTGCCAAGGTAACGTTGACAACCGACACGCACAGTTTTTCCCCAGCATTTTCTTCACATTTTCCCCCCGCCCAAAACCCCTGCGTAGTTATAGAAATATACTTGCTGCATTCAAGCGTGCTGTAAATTATGCAAAATAACGACGTCAAAGTTTCAATATAATGAAGCTAACAGGATGGTGGTGGAGCCAGCAGGATGGGGATTAATATAGTCTGAAATTTCATCCCCAATGCCCATGTGCCATTAAGTCAAATAAGAACAAACAAGAAGTTGAAGGGAATTAAGGTTTGAAAATGTAAGACCCCGAAAATGCTACATACACAAATGCTAATGGTTGGTGGTATTAACTTTAACTTTTTTCTAATTTAAACGCATGCAGGACTTTTTTAATATTTTTAACTGATAATAGATTTTACATGTAAGCCAAAATAATTTATGTTGTGTAAATGAACTAATTTTTTCTATGCAGCAAATATGTAAGCTACAAAAAAGAGTTTAATTTAAATTGACCTAAAAACACTAAGCGGTTTTGTGATTTTAATTAAATGTTTTGTCCGTTTTTTTTAATGTGTTACGTAAGGGAGCTTTATTAAATATGTTAAAGGCTGGAGACCTCGGAAATGAAACCGTTTCATGACTTAAAAAGGGTATGTGGCATACGAGTGTACAACCTCCCATTATCGCTGGACCGACACTCAATCACTGACCTCAAACCCTTGAAGACATAAAAATCAAATCGAAGCCGTAGCCATAAACAATTATGAACTTTGTTGCACATTGTTGCCCACACATGGCCACACGGATCCTGCTCCTTGTCGTCGCCTTGGTTACATTGTAAAACGTTTTATTGTCGCCGCCAGCTGGCGACGATTTGTTGGCAGCAGCTCACCGCCATCAAGTCGCCCAACCACCCACTAAAAAAAACAGAATCCACCAGAGGTGACAATTTGTCGGCATATTGTTTGCTTTTTTAAAGGACTCTGCAAAAAAATATTTCACTTAAATATTTAAATCTAGATGAAACAATTTTTTGTTGGTAATTTAGCAATAATTGTTTCTGCAGGCTGATAATAAATCAACTGCATAATTAAATCTTAATTGTTGTTTAAAAAAACTCTTTGGAAAGAAAACAAGCGACAGCAAGTGCTATTATCCTTTCAATAAACTAAAATAAATAAAATCAAATTAGATTGCCCTACTTTGTGTTATAAGTAATTTGAAGTCCTTTTTTGTTGCTCATCACTGGGGTCCTTCGAAGCAACCCCGAAAATCCTGCCAAAAGGTGCGAGCCGGCGGCACGACGACAACTGTTATGCTTATCGGATGCTTTCTGAATACGAATTGGGATGCGAAAGCGGATTCGGTTGAGGATGCGGATGTGGATGTGGATGCCAGTGCGGATTTCAGGAGCTGCGGCAAATTGCTGCTGATTGTCAGGTTCAGGCGTCGTTGCGTAAATAACTGAAAGCGGTCCGAGGTGCCAACTGCCTTTTGAGCCGTGCCCAAAACTTTGGCCAGAGCACATTAGATGCTGGGTGGAGATGGCCGCCAAACTTCGGACCGATTAACTTGGGAGTGGAGAGTGTGAAGCAAGGAGTGAGGAGGAGTGGGGAGGTGGTACTGGCGGAACTCTTATCGCCAAGAGCCCGTTTCGTTTTAGTGCCGCAATCAGCGCTGTTCACTTGCAATGGCCGTGGCAGGACAAATATTTTACTTTTACTCTTTCGCGTCCGCTGCGAGATTTCTTTTTTGCCGCCGCGTCTCCATTCCCGGCTTTAACTTTTCGTCCTTCGCTCGCCCAAAAGTTGAGCTCTCTAATGCGCTGCAAAAGTGTGCCAAAGACGCTGACAGCGAAATCAAACACAAGCTTCAGGGAGAGGGGAGCTAAATATACGACGGAATGGCGGAGAAGGAGCGACAGAAGGTCCGGGAAAAGGATGCACAAAGTTAAAATTAAATTAGCGTTTTTTTCTGGCTCCGCAGGGTAGCAGGGCTATGTGAAGTTCGGTCATTCTGGGCCACCGATTTGGGTCCAAGGGCAGCGGATTCCCTGGGGAATGCAGGGTATCTCCAGGTCGAATCCGGATATTGTCCGGCTAACAAGGTATTCGCATCCTGGTGGCGCTGCCTGTCACTGGCTGCTACTTAGCCAAATTAAAATTGCAGAACACTTTTGATACTCTAACAGAGGGTTGTAGGTACTTTAAGTAGAAGATGGTGGGAAGATTAGAAAAATTAATACTAATGCTACCCGTAGTCCAAAATGTATTTAATCTTAAAGGTTGTTAGTTGAAAAAAAAAACAAAAGTTACATTTTTGCAATCCATTTAGATTATGCTATTCTGATTTGCGAAATGTTGCATTTAAATTATCTTTATTAAATTAAAGTCCTAACAATGAATAGTAAAAATTAATCTAATATTTTTAAAATTCCTTAATGAAAAGTGAAATATATCATTTTTTAGAGCATTCCTTTTTCGAATCAAAAAAATCAAACGTTTAGTTTCCGTTCCGCTTTTAGTGTCCTTTTAGCGTTTCGCATTTATGCTTGTTTAAGCAAATGCCGTGTTATCGTCCGGATCCGGATCCAGGTCCGGATTCGTGTCCGTGTCCGTGTCCGAGTCCAGTCGAAAGGATAATGCGCGTAATTGTTGTCCGTGCGCGGCAGTTGGCGCTGAAGGAGCCAGCGAGCGCCTCTATTTGCATGGAACGCATTAAAAGTCGCTGGCTCAGCGCCGTGGCAATTCAATTTAAGCGAGTGGCATAAGCACAATCTGGCCAACTGCGACTCAACGCTCAACGCTCAACGCCCAACGCTAATGCCACACGTATCTGAGGTTCGGAGTTTAGTGCATATATGCTCTGCAAATGACTTCATCGCCAATTGCTCAATTGTTCGACCAGCTCCCGTGACTTTCGCTCTTAGTGTTGAGCTCTCGACATATATCCGTATATCCGTACATCCGCACATCCGCATATCCGCACATCAACATACCCGCATACATCCGCATCTGTTGGAAGTGAAAAGGCGAGAGTAAACAGAATGGGCACTTCAAGTGCAGCCAGTTCGGGTCGAGTGCCTATTAACTGGGATCGATGGGTTGGCATATGGTCACGCTAGTTTCAAGTGCCGCAATCTGAAGAGAGGTGTTAACCCATATGGTGGGTACCAAAAGGAAAATGCATTTAAATTGGGAAATATCATTTTCAGTTGATATATATATCGGGATGGTAATCCCCTTAGTTGTGAATTGAAAACTAGTTTATTACTTTTCATTTTAAAACATTTTTAGGGAGTCGTTTTGAGTAGCTACTAAAAATGATCCAAAATATTTTTTAAATTAATTTATAAAATCTTCTCAAATATTTAAAGGGCAATAAACATTTTTAGAATTTTTTTAAAGTGCTGTTCAGCTTTGAGAGTAGATTAAACTTCCATTAAAATCAGTTCTTTGTTTGCCAAAGTTAAAGCCCAAAAACGCTTCACTTCACCCGAGTTTGGCTGCAAAATTGGCATATAAGTGGCTGAGCGACTAACAGGGAATATCAAAAATATTGCCATAAAATATGCCAAGACAAGCGTCGCAGTGCTCCTCCCTCCGCATCCACATCCGCATCCCCATCCCCATCCGCATCCGCATCCGCATGCAGAACCACAAGCAGTGCAGATACGAGTTCCAGCGTCTTGACAGCCAGCGATTGACATGAAAAAGGGAGGAAAAAGCGGAGCTTCAGATGGAAGACAAGGTAATGAAAAATATTTCCATATTGCAAATAAAGTCAGCTTGCCAACGTGGCAACCCTAAAACCTATTTCTTAACCCTTGTCGACAGACCAAAAGGACGAAGAACGAAGGATGAAGGATGGGGATGGGTATGAGGATGGGGATGCCTTAGTTCACCTGCTGCCGTTCGCCAGGCTTTTGTTTTGGCAGGCTGGCATATTTCAATTTGGGACTCGCAACGAGGCCCGAAGTTTATGCAAATTCATTTCAAGTTTCCTGACGCAACAGCATTATCAAGCGCAGGACTGGCGACCTCCGACCTCCGAACTCTGAGCTTCCATCTCCGAATTTGCAACCTCCGGCGATGACGATGATGCTGATGATGGAGATGATGGCGATGGAGATGTTGCACTTGTGTACTCGCTGCATACACGTACATCCTTGTTGACCTGGCTCCTTGCCAGGACTCGCTTGTTGGCCGCAAGTGTCGGCATTTGTATTATTACAATTATTACGTTGATGTGCACGGCTTCACTTTGTGCGGCGGCTTTGGCTCACGTGTGTTTGCCTGTTTGCCTGTTTGCGGTCGGCAGTCAGTTTGCCGCACTTCGAGCACTCGAGTAGTCGAGCAGTCGAGCAGTCGAGCACAACGTGGCGTATACACAATTAGCCATATTGGTCAATATTATGCCAAGTTACGCGCAATTTCGCGGTCGCGGCTTTCATTAGCTTTGTGCAGCAGTGCAGCAGGCTCAGTGCCACCAAATATGTGCTTATCCAGCGGATGTATATTGGCCCAAGGGAATGATCCAAGAGGCCGGCGAATGTGCGACGACGACTCATTCTGTTCGTTATGTTTTTTATTTTATTTTTTTTTTTTGTTTTTTAATTAAGTTTCGAGT